TCTGACATATGTATATTGCAGGGTGCAAGCTGATGTCATTTGGGTGCAGCCTATTGGCCTGTCTGCCTCATGCGCTCAGACCTCTCTCTCTTGCTCATACTTATCATGTCAGATCCTTTGGCTTCCTCACTCTCTTTCTCTTTGGATCCTTCGGACTTCAACACTCCCCCTCGAGTGCATGCCAGACCCATGTGGGTGCATAGCTTTTGTAGCCGGGGGTGGGGCAATGCCTTGGTGAATGCATCAGCGACATTATCATCCATGGGGCAGTAGAGGAGCTTGAAGGTGCCATTTTTGACATGTGAGCAGATGAAGTGGTACCTCAAGTTGATATGCTTGGTATGCAATTGAAACTTGCCAGTGGATGCTAATGCTATAGTGGCTTGGTTATCACAGAATATGGGGGTGGGGAGGCTTGGTGGTTCATAGAGTTTGCCAAGGAGTAGTTGAAGGTATAGTATTTCCTTTGCTACACTGGTGAGAGCAATGTACTCAGCTTCTGCCATTGATAGGGCGATTATGGGCTGCTTTCTCGCACTCCAGGACACTGGGCCTCCATTGAGGAGTACTATGTACCCACTCATGGAGTGCCTGTGTGGCTGCAAAGCCCAATCTGTGTTGACAAACGCTTCGATCCTGGCATCTGTAGATCCCAAGGTGAGCTCGAAGTCGTCAGTGGCTTTTAGGTAGCGAAGAGCTTGCTTACTAGCCTCCCAGTGTGCCCTTCTGGGGTTTCACATGAACTGTGACAATGTCACTATCATGAAGGCGATATCAGGACGTGTGCTCATTGCTGTGTACATCAATGAGCTGATGGCTCATTGATAAGGTATGTCTTGCATGGCGGCTAGCTCTGCATGTGTTCCAGGGGACTGATCTATGGACAGGGAGGTGGCCAGTGTGACAGTCAAGTTTTCCTTGGGCTTAGATTTACTTACTTTACTTACCTTTACCTACCCTCACTTTCTTTAGCTTATGTTTGCATTTTTGCTGCTTACTTAAGCATGTATCTCTTTCACTAGTGTCAGTACCAGCCTGAATGACAGTCCCTTTTGATGATAATTTCTACTCTCTGAGCACTGAGCCAAGTCAGAATCCCATGGGCTGAACATACTGCTCTCCACTCAGCAGCTTGGCCAGCTGAAATATGATTCCCACACCGGTTCCATGGGGGTCTGGATGGTCTTAGCATCCCCCAGATGAAAACATTCAACAATTGTGTCAATGTAGGCCTTTTGAGAAAGGGTAATGGTGTGTCCCACTCTATCTCTTGTTACCTTTAGCCCTAATAACCATGATAGCTCGCCCAGGTCAGATATCTCAAAGAATTCACCAAGTTTTGACTTGAATCAGAGAATGTGGGACTTGTGATTGGTGGTGACAGCCATGTCATCAACCAACATGGTGATGATGATGTGCTCTTTGGGGGTATGTTTGAAATATACTGCTTGATCAACCTGGGAGCGGCTAAAACCCATCTTCAGAAACACTCCAGCTAGTTCCTCTGCCCACTCAAAACCTGCCTGCTTCAAGCCAGGCAAGCTGTGCTTTAGCTTCAGTACCTTTCTCTCCTGACCATCCTTCAGATATCCTGGAGGCGCCCTCATATATATGTCTTCCTTGACATCTGCATAGAGGTAAGCACTCTTCACATCCACCTGATGAATCTCCCAGTCCTTCTGGGCTGCCATGCTTAATATGGTATGTATTGTGCTCATATTCACCGTTGGGGTGAACATGTCGAAGTAGTCGATGCCATATTGCTGACATTGTCCATTCATGACAAGTCGTGCTCTTAGCTTGAGCTTTTTGCCATCGGGGCCTCGCTTAGTTGCTAACACGAAGTGGCAGGGTATAATATTTGATCTGCAAGGTAAGTCCACAATGTCCCATGTTCCCAACTTCTCCAGCTGACTGATCTTGTAGTCTAGCACTTCCTGTCATTCTGGACTGTCTGGACCATTCAGAGCCTGCTGCAAGGTGGGCTCTGGCTCAGTCGTTGCTAAGGCTAAGTGAATGTGAGCTTCCTTGTCTAGAAGATCCAAATCTGACACGTCCTTCAGGGATTCGATGGCTACAGCTGCCATTTGGGCCTTTTGGAGCTGGGCATAGTACCCTGGAGCTGGTCTTGGCTTTCCCTGGGTTCTGGGGTATTTGGAGTAGCATTTGGAGTAGGAGTGGGAGTATGTGGGATGGGCTGGACGCTAGGTGCATTGCTATCAGTACTCATCTCCTCTTCTATAGGTCTTGACTCCCCCTCATTCAGCATATCCTGGTCAACAAGCACATCAGGTGGCGCAAATGTTATGTTTTGCTTGACAGAGACTCACCTTTTTGCTGGCCAATATACATGGTATGCCTTGCTATCTGTGTCGATCCCAATGAAAATGGCCTCCTCAGTGTGGGGTTCGAGCTTTCCAGCATTCACCTGGTGGACATACAGCTTTGATCCGAACTCCCAGGCCATGGACAGGTTGGGTCTTGCCCTATGGACAAGTTGGTGAGGAGTAGTGCCAGGTATGGCACTTGAGGGTAAGCGGTTCTTTAACCAGGTAGCATAATTCACTGCTTCTGCCCACAGGAACTTCGGGAGGTCTCGTCCTATGAGCATCGCTCTAGTGAGCTCAACCAGGGTCCTATTTAGGCACTCAGCCACTCCATTTTGCTGGGGTGAATCATGGACAGTGAGTTGTCTCTCAATCCCCTGGTCCAACAGATACTTATCAAACTCTGCACTCAGATACTCCCCTCCACAGTCTGACTGAACTTTTCATAGATGGGTCCTGGGGTTTTGACGAGTAAGGTGTGCCTCATACCTCTTGAATGCCTCCAATGCCTCACTCTTAGCTTTCAGGAACTCAACCTTCATTTCACAGGTGTAATCATCCATGAAACTAATATAATAGGTCATGCTGCTGAGGCTGGTAGTCTGCACCAGGCCCCACAAGTCCATATGGACAAGTTCCCCATAGGTGAGTGTGTGTGTTTTTGACTCTTGCAGAAATGGCTGACGAGTTGCTTTGGCTTTTGTGCATGCTTCACAGAATTCAGTAGGGGAGGTGAGGTTGACATCCAGACCTTCGACAAGCTGATCCTTTGTAACTTGCAGGACAGCTTTCTGGGAGATATGGCCTAGGGCACAATGTACCTCGGCCAAGGTAAGTTTTGCCCTTGCAACATGAGTGTGATGTGTTTTCTGACTGGCCACACTATACAGACCCTCAAGCTGCAGGATTTCAGTGATGACTTCGCATTTGGGCCCCTTCGACAAGATTTGGCACATCTTGCCTTCAAACAGGACCGCTAATCTGGCCAAAGTGATTCTGTTGGTCAAGATTAGGGTAAACACCATAGAGGGGGCATATAATGCATCCTTCAGGGTGACAGTTGTTCTCTTTGTCCCCAAGGGTAAGTCTATCTTGACATCTCCTCTGCCAGTAGCACTGAGAACTGACCCATTTGCAGTGAATATGTCTTGTGGGGCGATAGGGACAAAGTTTGAGAACTTCGACCTGTCAGGACAGAAGTGGGAGGTTGTGCCAGAGTCTACTATGGCTCCACGGCATTCAGGAGGTATGTTCATCCTCTGGGTGATGTTGGCAAGGTCATCTGTCACGAAAGCATAGTTCTCCTGGCCCTCTGACTCCTTTGCAGCATTCGCGCTCTGTTTTTGGGTACGTCCTCCCCTCTTCCCTCTCTGGTTTGGTCCCTGACCCTCTTTTCCTCCCCCTGGCCTCCAGCAATCGCTTTTGTAGTGGCCTTTTCGGTTGCAGTTATAACAAACTGCATCTGGGTTGGACTGGGGTGAGGAGGTGGACAAGGACTTTCCTTTTCCTGGAGGTCCTCTCACTGATAGGGCTGAATTGGGTCCCTTCTTGGTAGGTTGCTGACTGGTGAGTTGCCAATGCTCATATTCCTCTGAGACGATATTGATTAGTTCATAGGAGCTTATGGATGCACCGGTTATCTTCATAGCCGTGCTAATGGACGAGAGTAGGGGACAATAGGATTCCGGGAGGGATGCCAGTATCATGGCATAGAAGTCTTTCTCCTCGATGGCAGCTCCCATGCCTGCCAGTGACTTGCAGAGCCAAAGCATCTCGCTAAAGTGAGTCTTTATATCTCTGTTCTCCTCACATCTGGTCTCCTGTAGCCTTCGCCTCAGATCAATCTGGACAAGCTTGGTTTTCCCTTCATGAATATCACAGATCTCAGCCCAAATCACTGAAGTGGCCTCGAGCTTCTGCATGTGCAGCAGCAGCCTATCAGTTATGGTGCTGAAGATTTGCTGTTTCACTAGTGAGTCCTTCTGGTTGTACTCATCAATCTTCTTATCAAGAGTCTCGATCTCTGCCATTGTCAGCTCACTGCCATCCTCCTTTTCAGGAGCTTTGGTCCTCTTGTTGACCTTGTAGGGGACAGGTCGTACTGCATGTCCATCAGTAAACTGCATCAGACCTCTCACACCAATTGCCATTAATGTTCATTCCTTATAGGTAATCCAATTGCTACCATCTTCAGCTAGCTTTGGGACATTGAATAAGGCAGAGCTGAGGAGGGGAGCGTGATTTCCATGGCCGTGACAGGGCTCATAACCTGTTGCAAGAACAGGCGAGCAAATGACAGGAGAGGGAGCTAGAACACAAAGGTACAATCTCAGTTTCAACTAGAACTCATATTAACGTGTATAGTACCTAGAACACAAAGGTACGCTATGGTTTTGGTCAGTAAATGCTGACATACATGTTTCCAAGTACTCACATCTCAGTTTCAACTAGAACTGAGATGTGCACGTCTGATGGGCGCTTGGTTTTATAGGAAGGTAAGTAAGGAATGCAAAGGTGAAGTTTTCTGACATATGTATATTGCAGGGTGCAAGCTGATGTCATTTGGGTGCAGCCTATTGGCCCATCTGCCTCATGTGCTCGGACCTCTCTCTCTCACTCATACCTATCATGTCAGATCCTTCGGCTTCCTCACTCTCTTTCTCTTCGGATTGTTCAGACTTCAACAAAGAGTTCCTTCTCCCAAGCATCCGGATCATATGGCGTGAGGGCCTTGAGCTTTCTGCGCTCGAGGACAAGCTTGAGCTCCGTGAGTGGATGAGCCACATCCGGAGCAAAAGTGTCTTCAGTCATGAGTAGTTTTGTTGCATCCACTGAGTCATTGCCAGTCGCTGCATACATGTTTTCCATCCCACATGGTAAGAATTCTGCCAATGCATGAGCAAATGGTGTTGCAGGCATTGTCCCATGTGCGAGTGGCCTTGCACTCAATGATCCTGTGAGGGTTTTGTCCAAGGCAAACAGCACAAGCTGAGAGGACGCCTCTGCTTGTGCCTGCGCGAAAATCCTGCCTCAGCTTCTTTCCCCTGTTGGTGTGTTCAGGTGAGGCTGAGCACTTGTGCATATCTCTTGAGTCGCACTGTCTGTGTGACAAGTGGTCTCATTGCTCAGACTGCACTGAGCAGTGTGGCATGAGGCATGAGGCATGTGGCATGTGGCATGGGGCATGTAGCATGAGGCATGTGGCAAGGTGCAAAGGATGAATTGAAACATAAGATTTCGAAGGAAAAAGGGTGAGCGTGGGCTCGCATTTCGATGGTCGAACAAAACTGACCTTATAGTCTCTTGCATTGTCTCTCTTGTCACGAGTCTCCCAGTACACCCTTTCTCTGGTCTCCTTGAGAACTCTCTCATTGACCAAAGATAGGTCATAGGGTCCCGATGATGTCTTTACCGCTACGTGCCAGCGCTTGCACTGTTCCACCTGGTAAGCTAGCAAAGCTTTCTGCACTACCGGGTTCTGCATGGAACAATACTTGTGCACCTGAATATTCCTCCAGAAATGGGCCATCATTCTTGTTCTGTCCTCTAGCCAATCTGCTTCTTCCATTGCTGTCAGCATGCGTGGGCAGGCCTGACAAAATTCTTCAAATGGTAAGTTCTCATCATTGATGACCGCACACACATTGCGAGTAGAGGCTGCTGAGACCCATGCTGTCAAGCCATCCACTAAGGTTGACATGATCATTGCATCGTCGTCAACCATTTCCTTGTGATTGACTTCATCCAAGCCATTGTTGGTGAAGTACCATAACTCGACATATTCTCCCTTGTCTAGCTTCTTGATCCATCAGCAAAACCCTAACCCTATGTGCAGCACTGCACAATGCTGCACAGCAACCACAGTGTCACAGTGAGGTCCCCCCATGTACAGCACTGTACAGTGCTGCACACTACACAATTTCTCAATAAAACATAATTATTAGCACACTATCTTGTTATATACATGTTTATGACTACATCACACTCATTTTTACATAGAATCAATACTTGTGTGGTGCTGCAGAGCCTTTACAACAAAATCTATGTGACCTGTGATATGCTGTGTGGCTGTGGCGCTGTACCCAAATCAGGGTTTTGCTGATGTCATGTATGTGCATGGCACGATACTTGTAGCTGTGTCATCTGGTATGCCAATGGTTAGAATTGGTATGTGCTTATGTTTATTCTTCTTCCTATCCTCCTTGCAAGTGGTCTCTTCCTCTTGGGCTCAAACTTGTTCAAGTCTGTCTTGCTCCTCTTCTTCTTGTTGCTCACAGTGTAAGCACTCTTCCCTATCTGCTGTTACTTGATGTTGCCAAGTGATCTTGTCCGTGTTGTTGTTGGTCTCCCAGATATTCATAAGTAGTTGCACCACCTGTTCCTCATCAGTGTTCTCATTAATGAGTTGGGCTCGAGTATTTTCAAAGATGTCTGAAGCATAGTCTGGGCAAACATTGAAATTGGGATCATTACACATCCTCACCATGATCAATGACCAAAGGTATATTTGTTGTAACAGGATGCGACGAAATGATAGTGTAGTCTAGCAGTAGAAGACTTGCAAATACTACGTGGTAGTATGAAGCAAGAAGGATGCGAACTTCGAAAAGCTGTGCCGCCGCATAGACCCCATTCTATTTACGTTTTCGTTCCTCAAACTTACATAGAATATAAACTTCAAGCAATCCGAATGCAGCCACTGTGAATGGTTCATATTGAATCTCAATCAAGGTTTCGGCCCCTTTGAGTCAAAGATTAGTGAGTCGTCGATGGATTGTTCGATGCTGATGGCAGGTCAAATGCATGGTTGATTACAGTCGTATGGCATAAGCCAATGTGCATAGTACAAGCTACTGGTCACCGACAGGATACTCCATTCCAGACCCAAGCCAAATTTGTTCGCTCATGGCCAGATCGTATGCAGTGCGAGCGTCCTCTAACAGGTGTTCGAGAAGGTTTTGGTCATTCGACTCGAACATATCTTTCTCCTCGTCACTCATCTGGAGCAAATCGTAGCAAGTGTCTCGGCTGCGAACTTTCCGGTCTCTCATTACACCTAAAACCTTTTCTCTCCATGTAATCCATACTGGCGTATTGTTCGGAATGAATTTGCGGATGATCCCTTCTGGCTCAAAACCTAGTCTCTTCCATTCCGATTCTGCATAGACACCAGGAGGCTGGAGCATTAGGCATGCGAATACAGCGGCAGTTGTTCTCGTGCCAAGACTGTACGTCTGCATATGCCGCTCATCTAGGTTGAGTATTTTCAGGAGTAATTGTTCCTGGATATATTCTTTGTCGATTGAGGACAAGTACAAGTTGTACGCCCACGAAGCTGCGAAAGAGGACAGGAACATGATTTGACCAAGGAATGTACCCTGGGGGATCAAGAGGAGTTGAGCGAGGAGTTGTATGACGAGCAGGAGCGAACACAATCCAATAGCAGCATATTCGTCTTTGATGGGTACGGCCTCCTGGTTTGGACCACGGTCTAAAGAATGGTTTTGAAGACCGGCTTCTGTATCGCTTCTGCGGTTCGAGTTGGTCGACTCCTTTCCAGGAACAGGACGTTTCCTCTTTTCCTTTCTGCTCCTCTTCTTAACCCAGGGCTCATAATTTAGAGTGAACTTCCCTCTCGTAATGGTAGCGACGTTTTCCTCTTTCCCGAGCAGGAGGACGATATTATCACCGTCCATCAGCATTCCGTCTCCGGGCGGAGCCGTAGGTGCTGGCTTCACACCTCGCAGCTCTAAACTCGCGGACCCTATGACCAAGGAGGACATGCCACTTGAGATGATGCCCAGAAGGATCATCGAACAACAGAACCAGTCGTATGTCCATCCGCAAAGCGCACACGTGGCGAAGCTGACGACTATTGGTAGAATTGCAACGCACGTGTGACGCCCGCCGTGATGTGGGATCGTGCGTACTGGCAGCTTCTCTTTTGTCGCTGACTCTTCAAAAATGAGTTGTGTCTGGATAAGAGTTACTTTGTTCCGCTTCGTGACTCTTCCTTTCACCTGCACTCCTGGCTCCTCCTTGCATGTCTGCATTATCAGGTACGCAAGATGGCCGGTGTGCTCCAGGATGGATCCAGATCTAGAGGCGACATATTTGGGGCCCTGCTTGCCATCAAGCTCGAAGAATTTTGCGGGGTCTTCATTGGGCCCAGGGAAAAGCCCGTCCCAAAAACGAGAATTTGCGAGCATTCCGAACCTCTTGCCGACGTTCCAGCTGCCGGGGGAGTTGTACCATCCCATCCATTTTCTGTACTTGTAAAGATGAATGGTTTCCATTGCAGATATGGCTTCTTCGCCCCCGAAGAACCCTGCGACGCCGGAAACGTCGAGGTCAAAATGACCTGTATTGATGTCGACGGGATGTTTGTAGGGCATGGTACGTATGTTGCGGCTTGTTTCACGGAATACCATCCACAACTGCTCTTTTAAGTAGCGCACTTGACGAGAGGCGTGGACTCAGCACACTCAGAAGCGCATGAGCTCTAGGCGCTATGAGTTCTAGGTGCGATGCTATCCAGCACATGTTCCCCCCGTGGAACGCCCTCCACCTGTGAAAATCTGTGACTGATCTATCGATCCCTATTTCACAGGTAATCCACATGGGTGTATTGCTGTTAGCGAGCTTTGCCGGCGGTATGCGCTCGATCCAATCTGTCGTCACCAATCCTTCACGATTTGGCGCATCAAATTTGCCATGTGTTGTATTAATGCAATATAGGGTTGCAGTATGCGGCTTAGGTTGGATAGTTTCTGAACAGGTGGTACATACGTTACAAAAAGTATCAAACACGACTTTGAACGAAGAAGTCCGATCGAGGTACTTGTTTCTCAGAGATATAGCTATTGTCGCTAATCTTATGTACTTGTTCCTGGTAACCTCTATACGCATCGTCTGCGTTTCGAAGCAATGACTCCAGGAGGGCCCTTTCATGATCTGTGAACCCTTGCAGATCCCTAGAGCTAAGGTTGAACGACTTTTCTTCTTTGTTATTTTCCAGCTGCTCCGCCACTTTGTCTCTCCATACATTCCATACTCTTGTGTCGTTCGAGATGAAACGTTGCAGGATTTTCTTTGGTTTGAAGTCAACAGATGGCCTTTGGGGGCCATCACCGAGGACCAGGCATGCAAAAACTGCCTGAGCAGCTCTGTTTTTGAGCCCAAATTTCAATAGTCGTGGATTGTCGAGCGCTTTCCATAGGATATCGAGTTGTATTTTCTCTGGCTCCAACGACGACAGAAATGAATTATATGTCCATGAGGCTGCAACCGATGAGATGAACATGATCTGCCCAAATGTCGATGCCTGAGGGATGAAAAGGAGCTGGAGAAGGAACTGCGCGAGGAGGAGAAGCGAGCAGAGTCCAATTCGTCTGTACTCTGGGCCGTCATTCATCCTCAGGACAAATTTGCCTTTCGTTATTGGATTGACGTCTTTCTCTGCACCTCTGATAATGACCACGTCGTTTCGCATAAGAAGTAATCCGTCCGCAGGCGGTGTGCCTGGAGAGGGTTCCTTCACGCCGGCAAGAAAATCGAGTCGAGCAGAGCCGATGACAAAGCAAGATGTTCCCCCTGAAATGACTCCCAGCAGGATGAGAGCAAAGGCTAGCCAATCTCCCGAAGCCGCGCAAAGCACGCACGTTGCGAGATTGATGGTAATGGGGATAGCAGCCAAGAGAGCATGATGGATACTCATCACTGGCGCCTGGTCTGAGTGCTTGAGCATCACATCTCCGACATCGATGATAGTGACTGTTAGAGGTATAGTCTCCCTTCCTCCCAATATTACCACTTCTTCAACTTCTTTCGTCTTCTGCACCACAAGGTATGCCAGGTGACCGGCAGGCATATCCGTGCCCGACAAAACCCCCCAATAACGAGGGCCGGGTTTTCCATCCAACCCAAACACCTCAGCTGGTGTTAGATTTGGACCAGGGAAAAGGCCATCCCAAAATCGCGAATTAGCGAGCTGCCCGAACTTCTTGGCGACAATGTAACTTCCTGGTGAATTATACCAGCCTAGCCACCGCCTCCCACGGTAGAGATGGACAGTAGCCATCGCTGAGATTGCTTCATCCCCACCGAAGAATCCAGCGACGCCCGATGTATCGAGATTGATATTCGACTGGTTGATTGGCACGGTGAGGGTGGGCATTTCAATCCAACCATTAGTTATAAAACAACTCAATCGACCTCATTTCTTCAATGTGAACACAGGCCCTGGGACCTGGTGGGAATTTTCATTTAAGGACTTAAAGGGCCAAGACCCAGCCATTCAAGTAACGTCGGACGACGAATCGTGTAAGTATTAGAATGCACAACAATCTACAACAATAAATAATATCCACACAGCGCACGAATGTCCAGCAACCACTAGTGAGGTGTCTGCCAAGTGCAATCACATATCAATCAAGCTCTTGAACCATCCCGCCCTGATCATTCACTGGCAGTTAGACGTGGGACCGGCCGCTGGCTGCTCCATGCCGACTTTTTGTGGAAGAATTCTCCCTGTTACTGAGAATCCGTGAGCTCACTCCTCGAGATACAGGATATTATGGTCGATGAAAGGGACATGTTTTGGCCGAATGGCGTTCCTTGAGGGATGAGAAGCAATCGTAGTAATGATTGCATGTCGAGAAAGAGGCTGCAAAGTCCAATGCCCCTGTATTCTTCACACCCGGACGATTTCTCATAATTTGTACGTCCTCCTCTTCCGGTACATTCTCTGGATCCAAGGTTAGTGCACCGAAGGTGTCATTTGGGCTTCTCTTCTTCATTCACACTGTCGGGAGGAATTCGAGGCTTTCGTGGCCCCGTTGACTTCTTTTTCCGCTTCCTTCAAAATGACAATGTGTCTTGAACTGTCATTTACCAGTATTCCATCTCCACAAGCGGCACGAGTTGCAGGCTTGACTTCCTTAAGGATGACCCAAAGGAGTTATCGCGAAGCAGCACCAGTCGTGATCATACCGGCACATGGGTATCTCTGCCAGCAATCTTTATGATCTAAGACTTAAACGATTGTGGTTGGAGTCCCATTAACTCTACTTGAGCCGAGTCTGGAGCGCGAGTCCCGGACTTGGTGACCATTTTGGGGGGCCTCCTTGTTCATCTGGTTTACAAGGCACGCGACGAGAGTTGTCCCTCCAATGATGGTTCCAGACTAGGAAGCAAACCACTCAATACCCAAGCCCGAAAACTTTTTCTGGCTCTTTCGTTAGGCCCGGAGAAAGGTACGTTTCAGACCCGAGAGTTTGCGATGGAGCCTAAGCACTTGGCAACGGCGAAGCTGCTTGGGGCGTTGTACCATACAGACCACCTAGCCTTGTGTAAGTGGATATCCAATATGGCTTGGACGACTTCATCTGCACTGAAAAATCCTCCGATACCAGATACATCCAACTTCAACTTTCTTGAATTGGTTAAAATTGGGTGTTGAGACATAGTTGGTATGTAGTTACTATACTATCGCTCGCTCACTGGACCTCCTTGTTATATCTAGTTTCGCGCGCTTGCGTACTGAACGCATTGGTATTCCAGCCTACGCTCCACCCTTCGGATCCTGACGTGCCGAGCCCATATCCTGGTGGACAGTGAATTCTTCAACATCTACAGTATGATGAGTCCCAAATGCGATCATAGGTAGGAACACCTTCTAAGTGATAAGTACAGCCATGCATATCGTCATTTATACATCCTCTGCCTCCCAACTCGAGGAGCTGCGAATGGAGCGGAGATCACCGGTGCGCCCCCGGTAAGCCTTAAACGCACGTTCGGCATCATCTAGGAAGGTCTCCAGCAACTTGCGTTGTGCTTTGCACAAACCCTCCTTCTCCTCTGCTGTTACATGATTTTTTTTGTCCGGGCAGGTGGATTTCAACTGCGCTGCAACCTTTTTTCTCCAGAGATTCCAAACCTTTGTCTTGTTCGGCACGAACAACGATAACATACGCTCCGCGTCAAAGTCTTCGTCTGTCTCTATTCCATCACTGAGAATAGAGCAGGCGAAAACAGCCTGGCTCCTCCTATTGTGGAGGTAATATTTCTGGATCGAGTCTTCTTCAACCTGCAGCACCTTGCAAAGCAGACCTCCTTGTATCTTTTCGCTCTCAAGAGAAGAGAGGAACGAGTTGTAGGCCCAAGATGCCGCAAGCGAGGATAGAAACATGACTTGACCGAAGAGTGACGCTTGAGGGATCAAGAGGAGCTGTAACATGAATTGTGCCAGTAAGAGGAGCGAGCACAGTCCAACGTTCCGATACTCTGTCTTGCCATGCATGTCAAGCTCGAAATGTCCCTTCGTTATCACATTCACATCTTTCTCCGACCCTTTCAGGACGACGACATCACGTGGGGTCAGAAGCAATCCATCCCCTTGGGGAACCCCCGGGGTCACGGTTTTGGGTGCCTGGAGCTGAAGCTTCGCAGTACCGATCACGAGGCAGCTTATGCCACTTGAAATGATTCCGAGAAGGATAAGGCTGAAGGCAAGCCAGTCGTTGACAATAGCACACGAGAAGCATGTCGCGATGCTGATGGTTATGGGTATTGTGGCTAGTAGCGCGTGATGTACGCTCATCATCCCCACTTGACGCATATCCGTAACGTCTCCGACGGGGATAACAGTCACTGCTGCAGGTAACGTCTCCGTGCTGCGTTTGCCCTGAACTGCCACGCTCTTTAATTCCCTGCTTATCTGTATTGCGAGGTATCCAAGGTGCCCCGTCGGCATATCTGTGCCAGACAGCGAAGCGACGTATCGCGGCCCAGGCTTACCATCCAGGCCAAATGTTTCAGCTGGTCCGAAATTTGGACCTGGGAACAGTCCATCCCAGAATCGGGAGTTGGCCAACTGGCCGTATCTTTTGGCGACCGTATAGCTCCCTGGAGAGTTGTACCACCCCAGCCATCTTCGGCCACGGTATAGATGTACGGTAGCCATGGCTGAGAGTGTTTCGTCGCCGCCAAAAAAGCCGGCAACCCCGGCCGCATCAAGTGAGAACGAACTGATATCAATCAGTGGGTGCATTGTTGTGGACGTCAGAAATGACGGTGAACCACAACATGCTTGCGGCGATCTTCAAATATCAGCTTGAGCTCCGTTTATTGCGTTAACTTAGTAAGAGCTGTGGCTTCTGGGACAACTTGAACATCCTCGAGGCAGCCTTACGAAATGAATATATTGATCATCTGACCTCAGGGCCCTGAAGGCACTGCAAACTGAGCGCCGAAATACCACACGATTTCACATCTTTGGAATCACTCTGATGGACTACTTCCATCACAATTAAGTACCAAGGATACTCATCCCATTTGAAAGAAGCTTGAAAATTCCTGTGCAACTATAAAGTCCATCCATCACAAAGGAATCTGATTGAACGCATGTTCCTCGGGAGGAGAAAACCATTGCGCCTACAGGATATTATTAGACGCCAGCTTTTTGGAACACGCTGATGGGCCTTTCAACCTTGACTAGTCGTCACAATCCATCGGATTTTCGTATAGAATCGAAAGAACTCATACAAATGTGGCGATTCAACGACGTGAGTGATGATAATTCCAAAGCTCGCCTGTCAAATACCACCTCCAAATAGGCTGATAATAGCCACAGGGGGAGGCCCACCCTCCCGGAGCTTTGTTTGCCCACAATAAGCAAAGACGTATTTTGAGGGATGCCACGTCACTGTAGGTGACGGTGCCAATGCAGGAACACGATGCAATGGGGCACCCGTCTCTGTTGCACACTATTGGGCCCAGATCATGTTAGACACTGATAAATGGCTAGAAACCGAGTCCTTACTATGTCGATGTAGGGTCCTGTATTTGCAATAGCGAGGTACTCTCCATCATACGAGAAACTCAATGCATTGATCGCATTTCTGAAGGAATCAAGTGAGTGGAGGGAGTGGCGTGTTTCGATCTACTCACTCGCAAGTGGAGATTGTCCGAACACATATCCATTCACTCAGATCGAACATGTTAACAATTGAGTCGTAGCCACCAGACGCGAGATATCTGAAACCAACGTTAGTGCATATCGATTAGAGTATGTAACAGTTAATGCGCACCTCCCCCGGGGATCGAGTGCTACTGCAACACAGCCTCCGACATGAGCGGCAGGGCTTTCTCTAAGGGTCAACGTTGGATAGTCCATGACCCGAACGCTATGCTCAGAATGATGTGTCAGAATTATACCATCACCGACATGATTGAACATGGCGGTGGATGCGACAATGCTCTGTCGAAAGATATCGGTAACTTGTTATATGATGGAGACAATCTGGAACAAACCCCGTCCTTGTCTGAGAGATGCCACTGCGCTTTTGCTGCATCACCATCTTTTCCGTATGTCAAGAAAAAGAGCTGGTGCCCGGCCGAAGTAAATATCAAAGCCCGGCCGTCCGGAGAGTAATTTGTTTGTACAGGTGAGATTTTTAGAATTATTTGCTGCGTGTGCCGACTTTCTTGAGTTCTATAAGAGTTGTTCACAATGTGTGCGAGACATATAAGACTTACGCCGTGCATCCCAAAATACAACCCTTCTGTCCTTCTGACTCGACGTACAAAATAACTCTGGATGAGTGGGATTCCATGATATGTAGTCAACATCATCGGAGTGACCGCCAGAAAAGTGGGTTGCAGCTCTTGATTCCATCTGCGATTAGGATACGGAGTGTAACTCGTGACGGAACGTTGAACGTATAGTACGTACGCTAGTTTCTGGAGTCCAGATCCGAGTGATTTTGTCGATACCAACGCCAGCTAAACGCTTCCCATCGCAACTCCATGCTACATGAGTTATAGCTTGAGGCGACGGTATACGTAGATCACGCGGTTTATGCGCTGGAAAGTTTTGTGCCTGATTCATTGGAGTACATTAACAATGCAAGGTTCTTTGGGATACGCAAAGATTTCTACACCCACGTGCAGACCGCGAGCAGCGAATGTTGTGTGAAGAGGGGGAGATGGTGGCCGCTGAAGGGGCGCTACCTCTTCTTCCTCCTTGCTGTTTACTTGACTTGACATTTCGGATGTGACTGGGCGTATAATAATAATATCTGCGAGATTTCAGACGTTGTTTGTCACTGTTAGGATCGATGAGCAATGGGAAACAACCAACATGATCTCTCTTGATAATCAGATATGAAAGCTCTCTGAGTCTCTGAGTCTTCCACCTTTCAATCGCGCCATTTTCAACTTGTTTGTTTTGTGCAACTCACAGGAAAGTCTGAGCCCGCAGAGTCAGGCAAATTGGTACGACTTCAGTGATTTACGGTAGATCGCTATCGACGACGTCTGTTTCCTCTGACAGGTTTTGGATACAGACATAGACCGACTCTGTCAACTTGTGCTCCTTATCAGTCAGATTGCTGATCACTTTTGTTGCCCTCGATCCCGTTCAGTCCAACTGAAACTAGAAGAAAATGACTTTGAATCATGTCTGGTTAGATGTAGATCCGGTACGCGATTGTCCATTTACTCTCGTTTGGCGTGGACGTGCTGAGGGAATGCCTTGTCTAGGGACATGATGATGCCACTGCAATTATGATGGCCTGTCAATTAGAGAATACCAAGCTCCTTGGGGTATCCAGTGTTCATGGCAATGCTTCCGCTGATTGCACTGCCAAGAACACCGCAAGGTGTCTGCACGCATTCGCTGCACCTTCTGATGTTCTAGTATATCCTGGCGCATGCAAGCCGTTACTTCGACCAACAAAACACGACCCTGAAATTCACGGAGAAGATGGCCTAGGAGGTGTTGTAGGGCTCCCTTCAGCTGATAGTCCTGAAGTTCAGGCACGATTCGCTCGGAAAGTTGATGGGTCAGTGATTCATGCCATCGAGGGGATGGCAACAGCGATCAAGGACACATGGCATAATGGTACTGGACATCAAGTGTCAATTGTCTCTTCCGGACCGATGACGAATATTGCCCTATTTATCAGCGTCTATCCAAACCTTTTGGAAGCAGTGGAGCAGTTTGTATTTATGGGTGGAGGTGTGGGCGTTGGTAATAGATCTGCCGTGGCAGGTATGTAACATGCTGTTGTACTTGAAGGTCCAATCCTTACAACGACAGTAGAGTTCAATATTATGTGCGACCGTGCGTGTCCTATCATTGAAATATGTTGTGATACTTGTCCTGATCTTCTATCAGCTGAGGCGGCTCAGATTGTCCTTGATGCTCCAGTCAAGACTGTCATGATACCCATCAATGTTACACACACAGCGATTGTCACTCCGGCTATACATTCCCGCCTGAGATCACCCCATCTACCTCTTCTGGACGACGTGCTGGCACATCCATCCACCAATCTCCGAAGCACACTATCTTCCGTCATCAGTTTCTTCGCAGGAACATACAAGTCAACATTTGGTTTTGATCAAGGTCCTCCTCTCCATGATGCACTAACCATCACATATGTGTCCCACCCCGAGCTCTTTGAAGCTCGGCGTTTTAGAGTGGATGTGGAGTTGCATGGTAAGCATACGGCAGGAGAAACGGTCATCGACGTCTGGAATTATCGAATGTGTGACGACTCATGGGGCTCTAATGGGAAGAATTGCGTTGTCGCCCAGTCAGTTCAGGTGTGTCCGAACGTACGGCCAGCTTCTCTTCTCATGAGAACAATGTCTCTAGGTCGACCAGTTTTTTGAATTGCTTTTGAATTGTGTCTCCCGATGTGATGCCATATCTCCGCTCAACGTACAACAGTGACAGTTCTCAGAGCAGCACCTTCACACTTCTGGTCAACTTTTACCACCCTTCTTTACATTTACTCACGCTCTTACTGTCATTGCTGAAGGATATCCCCTATCTGTATCCCGGTGGCCTACACCAGGCACTGCCCTAAGCGTGGGACCGACCTTCAGACTTATTCTTTTACGTGTATTTAAACACGACGCACCTTATAACCGGTATATGTAAGATGCCATTTCTGCCAGGACTTTGCCGCACCTATTGTATCAAGTTGTAGACGCCATAACAGTCGAGCGCTTTCGATAAGGCTATTCTTGGTTAGTAGTTACGATCCGCATGCTGTGAGTACACGCTTACCATCACAGATTGGCGACCACCCTCTGTCACAGAATCCCCAATCATGCATGTCAAAACAACATCTCACAGGAACTGAGTAAAGTTATTGATCCTATGGATCCGTTGGCTGTGTTTTTTTCCAAGACATTGATTAGTTGTTATGATGGCCACTGCCCATGTTGTCATTGCTACCTGAGGAACATCACTTCCTCCTATCAATATCAGATGGGTTTCAGCTACTAATTGCGATCCCGTGACAATTACCCTTTTCTGAAAACTTTGTTCCTTAACGTCAGTGGGGTGCTGCTGGATGGGGGCGAGATGCCGTGAGGCTAGACGATATATAAATGCATCTCGTCACGCCCTGTTACTAGACTGGCGCACCTCTCTTCCTTGGACAAATTTGCCTTGTGCCATCCGCTATGGGCGTCGACAAAGCGTGAGTGTCATGGTTCTAGCATACAAGGCCATCTGATGTGACGATGGCTTCTAGTGGTAAAAAATCAAGGTCAGTTTCGCGAACTATAGATATTGCGATTCTGAGTTATCCCCCAGTCGTTTCAATTTCATCCGCAAGTCAGCGTCACGAACCACCGATGACAGCACAATTCAGGTGTGATCCCTACTGCTTGTGCACGTGTTCTTGCTAATGTTCGATGTAGGAACTTGAAGCCTCTGTAGACGGCATCGAGGGTAATTCGACGCCTGCCCTAGAAGGCGCTCAAGGAGAAGAGGCAAGAGACTTGGAAGACGAACCAAACACGCAAGACGAAACAAACATGCAAGATGAAATAAATGCGCAAGATGAAACAAATACACAAGCAGGATCACCTCGCCAGGATCCCGTACCCATAGTGACAGAACCCCCACAAGACGAATCACTTCGCCAAGATTCCTTGTCCATAGTGGAGACAGAATCTCCGCAAGAAGAGGCAGAAATGCAATCCATGCCTCCACCTTTAGACACCCTCGGCCAAGAGTTTGCTTACACTGCGGAGGATGCCGATAGAGCTGACAGCCCAGTCGAAGACCCTGAGGTCACCCTCAAGAACCTACGGGAGACTTTTCAGAACATAATCGACGATAAATTAGCGAACATACCTCTTCGCTTGATAGACACCCACAGCGGCATCCTACACACTAGCAATGACCTCGAGGGAATTTTCAAAGAGTCGGAGGAGTACCAACGACTCTATGAGAATCTTCTGTCCACCTCCGTGTCGAAGCTCCAGCGCAAAGTTGACGAATTCTTTCAATATGCAATGCTTTCCCACAAGTGGGCAAGTGCGAAGGACGAACCCCAGTATTGGCAGATCAAGGGCAACGTCTACGATATGGATGCCCCGCGGGAAATCTGCAAGCTGCAACAGTTCTGTACTACCTCGAAGAGAGAAGGCTACCGATGGGCGTGGAGCGATACGTGTTGTATCGATAAGACGAACAACGCCGAGCTTCAGGAATCCATCATCTCTATGTTTTCTTGGTACAAGGAATCGGCAATCACTATCGTTTACCTTGCAGACGTTTCTGATATCTCGCAGTTGAAGGACAGTCAGTGGTTCAAGAGAGGCTGGACGTTGCAGGAGCTCCTCGCACCTCAATTTATTCGATTCTATAAGCAGGATTGGCAGCCACTCATCGATTCTGGTAAGAATCATAAAGTCGAACTTCTCACCATTCTCCACGACATCACTCGCATCGATATCGACGTTTTGAAGGTATTCCAACCCGGCGTTGACAATGTCAAGAAGCGTTTGAGTTGGGTGGGCACTAGGACAACTAAGAAGATCGAAGATATTGCCTATTGCCTCATGGGTAAGCGTCACCGTAGCTGATGAATTGTTCTAACGCCCTTGCTAGGTATTTTCGGCATCCACATGCCTGTAATGTACGGGGAGAAGCATAACGCCTTCGTGCGGCTTCAGAAGGAGATCATGGCACTTACCGACGACCTCTCACTCTTTGACTGGTTGGGAGAGTCATCGACCCTCCACAGTTACTTTGCTGCCCATCCGAGGTGCTTTATGGCCCCGTCCTATGACGCTCGACAGGACTCTGCTTCATCGAAATTCGAATTCAGGTTGCTCAAAACTTCGAAGCGTATCACCAGTAGCTTGTCTTCTTCAGCTCTCAAGCTTGTCAAGGACGTTTTGAGCAACCCACCTCACGGACGTTTCATTGCGAATGGGAGAATGAGTATGCCCTTTTTCGTTCACGAAGTGGTCACCCTTATCCCAAACCAAAACATGCCCGGAGTCTTCAGCTATCTCGTCAAAGCTGAGGGCCTTTCGGAGCTCGAGGTCACCGTCACGCGGCAGCTAGCTCCTTTATATGGAAAGAAACTAGCTATCAAATACCGCATCGTGCGAATGTGGGAAGCGAGTCTTATTCAACGTCAGGGAAGCACAGACGCCGAGGCTCCTGATGCCCTGACCGTTGACAGCCCTGGTTCTCCGGAGCCGCCCACAACAGAGGGCTCCCCGAAGCAGGAAAAGGACAAGGAAAAGGACAAAGAAAAAGAGAAGGACAAGGGCAAGGACAAGGACAAGGAAAAAGAGAAGGAAAAGGACAAGGACAAGGAAAGTTGGGTCGGCAGATCCAAGGAACTCGTCACCGACTTTGTGGCCGACATGGTCACCCACAGTACCGCCGCTGCATTGATTCGGAGGATGCAAGAACCGTTTATTGCTCAACTTCTTTGTTCGCCTGGTGATAAGCAGCCTTGGCGGAGGGTTGGAACCACCACTCGTATCCTCGCCCATGCGTCTTCTGGGTCCGTTAATTTTAGGGCTCTTGAAAATGTCATCGTGCACTAAATCTTCACGCCTTGTCGTTGCTCGCTAGCACTTACATAGCTTTATTGTACCCATGTTTACAGCTGCGATTACGAACCCCACATTATGATTGATGAATTCCTATGATGTTGTCAACGAAGTATGAATGTATGAAGCTGGTCAACGAACGCCGAAAAGATTCAAAGAACGAACTTGAACTGAAATTGCATCTCAACTTTAAAATCACACCACCAAAAAAGTACCGTGCATGGCGCTGTAGCGATGTCTCAATCTCAACTTGCTGTCATAGGCTCTATTTGGTTGGCGATTCATTGGGATCGAAATGTCGCCAGGTAGTTCTCTTGCGGGGTGTCCGATGTGACAAGTTGAAAGAACTAGACGAGAAGACCAAAAGGATAGTGGAGAAAGCTGAGGAGGGACCACGCTGTCAAGCAAGCGAAGTTTTGAAATTCCTACATGTCAACCAAAACAGTCAGTTAAAGTCTGCGAATAGACTAAGAATGCCTTGATTAATTGTGATAGACGAACTGGAGGGGATTGCGCAACGGTGCGTGGATCTACATGGACATCGTCATGCAAGCTAGTTAAAGAATTCCGGAGGCGACTCTGGAGACGGGGCAGGCTAATCATCGTGGCCCTTCTTCGAGTTTAAGCTCAGCTGGACATGATTAGTAATCTGAGGTTGTCTTCGAATTATAAAGTACACTAGTAATATTATGGAAACAGACAGAACAGGGGCGCTCTTTTCACAGCATTGTACGCGCAGAGGACAGAAATAACTCCTAAGACTATCATCTCACCATGTCTCTGCTTTCACACTACTCGAAATGCTGCCAATCAAGTTGCGTTTCCGAACCTGCAATATCAAATGCTGCTGGTATGCAGTGCGAGCGTCCAAGAGCAAGTCACTCAGCAAGCTCTTGTCGGCATCGTTGAACGCAGCTATGCGATCACCACAAGCCTGAAGATCAAAAGATTGCAAGGACGACTTGCTGCTTTTCATCTGTTCCAAGACCTGATTTCTCCAGACCGCCCATACGTGCGTCTCGTTTGGAATGAACTGTCGAAGAATATCTTGTGGCTTAAAACCTCTGTTCTCCCATTCTTCATGCTCGCAGTCTGGCTGAAGGGTCAGGCAAGCGAAAACAGCTGCGGCCGTTCTTGTGCCCAGTTTGTACGTCTTCATGCGATCCTCCGTCAAATTCAACGCCTGGACGAGCCTTTCCTCTTGCAGGTATTCTTTGTCCATGGACGACAAGAAGAGATTGTACCCCCATGACACAGCGAAGGACGTTAGGAACATGACCTGCCCAAATAGTTTGCCCTGTGGTATCAGGAGCAACTGCGTCAGAAATTGAACGACTAGCAGGACTGAGCAGATCCCGATTGCCGCGTATTCGTTATTGGTCTCGGCGTCTTCGTCACTCTGCGTCTCCAAGCCGTCCTCTGCATCTTTCCTGCCAAACCAGTGGTGGACGTTATGGATCCCATCCCCTACAATGCCTCGATTTCTCCTCTTCCTCATACGCGCGCGGACCCAGGGCTTGTAGTCCAATTGGAATTTGCCCTGCGTGATGGCAATAACATTCTTCTCTTTTCCAAGGACGACGATCACATGATTTCCATCCATCAACATGCCATCGCCTGGCGGTGCATTTTTAGAGGAGGCGACACTCTGGAGGACTATAGATGCAGAGCCGATTATAAAACACGAGATGCCGTTGATGAGAATGCCGAGGAGGATCAAGGAGAAGCAATACCAGTCATCGCCCCACGCACAAATTATGCATGTTGCAACGCTAGTGGCAATAGGGAACAATGCGACGTGTTTGTGGAAACCATCCCGGGCACGGATAGTTAGGCTATTCTCGGCAGTAGCGTCGAACTTGATGTCTGGCATTTCCAAGATGGTGACTTTATTAGCCCTTGTCTTTCGTCCCTCTACTGTCACGGCTCGTTGGTCTTTACACCTCTGCATTAACAGGTATGCAAGGTGACCCGTTTGCTTTAGGAACGTGCCGGACTGGGATGCGAAATATGCAGGGCCGGACTTTCCATCCAGCCCTATGTACACGGTGGGCTCTGCATTGGGTCCTGGAAACATTCCGTCCCAAAAGCGAGAATTGGCAAGCTGGCCATAGTGCTTGCCAACACTGTAGCTGCCCGGGGAATTGTACCAACCTGTCCACCGTCTTGCTCTATAGAGATGCACAGTTTCCATTGCGGAAACCGCCTCTTCGCCTCCAAAGAAACCTGCGAAGCCGCCGACATCGAGGTTAAAATGATTCGTGTTTAGTGTAACTGTGGGCATGACGGATATGAAGAACGCTGTCGTCGTCTGCGGGTTACCTTTCCTTCATATGTTCAAGCCCAAAGGCCTAATGATCATTACGTGAAAACACAGGTCCACTGATCAATCGATCATTTAATATCAGTGACGGATTGATGAAGCTACAGCGCTCGGCAAATATTGCAGTGCACGTTTCGGTTGCGCTGGCAATAATTATGTTGGTATTAATTATATTAATACTTAGCCGATTTGTGGCTGAGGCGTAGGCTATGACATTAATCAGCAAACAGTGTCGACTGCCATCACAGGCATCTGACACAACCTTACCTTGATGTAGGGCGCCATCCAACCTGCAGAATATACGACTTCAATTCCCCGAGTTGCACACGTGCATTGACTCTTGACTGGCATCGGTCACAGTCCTTCGTCGAGACTCGACACGGAAGAGACCAGACGGCGATTCTCCAATAATAGATGGGCGCTCATGCCAACAACCCTGTGGCATTTCACACTGTGTCAGTACAGATGACTCTGAGTCCCTGAACTGTGTAAGCCTTCACGAAACTGTCTCCCCCGTCTGGATCGGAACATTGAGGTCCCTTTGCGAATGAGGTAGGAATTATTTCCCCCTGACTACATTCTATTTTTCCTAGGCTGTCATCGACCGCGAGGCCCCTGTATTCACTATCACACTTGCGGCGCTCCAGACCTCTGATTCGAGCCTCTCTGTTCATGGTGTCACTAAGAAACGGCATGTTCCTGTCACTGGTTTAACAGCCTGGGACCAAAATGACGTTCTAATACATTCGATCTCCATTTAGAAGGACAGCTCCTCCTCGTGCTAGTGTTATATCTGTGTTTTTGTATTCTGTGACCTCGTGTGTTCCAGCAGGTTTCAACGTGGTAAAGATCAGGGGGAATATTGGGCTGCGTCAGATCGATTACTGTCTATTCCCGTTGATAATAGCGATCGTCGTTTGATTGTGCATAAGCCGTACTAACCGCCAGGCCTGACTCCGATACGTACGCGTCATGTTGATCAAACAATTGAACACTTCACCTCGGAGTTCACTACTGAACGCCGAGGCCTCGAGGGAGTGTTTCGACTTCCTTGTTTACTAATTGCCTTCATGCATTTGTCAATATCGTACGCCAAAGGCCTGTAAACCACTCTAGGGTCAGATATGATGTCGGTTACTTCGTCGGTTCCTGTTGATGACCTCTAGTTGGCTGGACAGATCAAAGACCATTTTGTTAAACTCATCAGACGCTGTGAAAAATCCAGCATGTCAAAACTCAGTAGTCACATTCTTGTTCCGTCTTCAAGAACATTTTGTCCCACAGCTGCTGATGAAGAGAAAAAAAGGAGGGCTTTACAAGAATGGGAACAGCAGAGCGGTTGATAGCGAAGGCCTTCATCGGGCTCCGTCAACTATCAAGACCCCTAACTGTTCGTTGATTTGAATCATTCCACAATCGTGCCACGCCGCGTGTATCTGTAGGGTGTAGGAGTGGCTTAGATCAATCAAATGATGTATTTCCTGTACCTATCGTTCAATGAAGACATTATCAATCCAAACCCAGTGGCGCGTAATTTAAGGTAGAGCTCTTCAATCACCAAGGTTGTTGTTACGAGGGTCAGGTCGTCCATCAAGAAAGATTTTGCTTGCTCTGGCGATGGAACGAGGAGCTCGACATCTTTTACGGCCTTCTCTCAAAGAGCGTATGGCTTCATCGAGATTACCGCGACCAATAGATGCCGAACGTTCGTGTATGCCAGCGGAGGGTATGAGTAAGTCGTGTGAGGGATCATGTTGTGCTTTGACAGTCTGCGTGACAATGAACCATGGAAATGCAAAGCTGTGCAATGTCGGTCCTCTTACCTCTTTGGAGTTACTCCGCAGCGAAGACGCCATCTTCCCCCGAGCCAAATGAGGAGCCTTCCTCTGTGTATCGTGTATTTCCAAAGCGGTTTTCTGGCCGATAAATTGAAGCATAACCACCCAGAAACTACAAATGATGCGTACCTGTAAGGATGACGAAAATGAGCAGATCATCCCGAAAAAGTCATCTGGCTTTGGTCCCTCCGGCGAATCCAGGTCTTCGCCATAGTAAGAGAAGAGAGCTCGTAAGTCTATTTCAATGAGGGCAGCCATTTTATTGAGCGCGTCAACGCTTTGTGCCACTTCAAGGGTAAACGGCTAGTGTTTCTCGGATATCAGAACGCGAACTCCTTTGGAACTGAGTAATATTCACCTGCATGATTGTCACGAATTGGTCGTTATCGGAGGGTGTGCGAATCTGCTTCAGCAGACTTATTTCTTCTTTAACCTTGTCCAGCGATGTAAGTAAAGACTTGACATTCTGTTGTAACGTGGGGAATGATACTAAGGCACAACATAAGTCTATTCCAAAAGATATTAAATGAAATTGCCACTTACTACGAGCAGCCGATTCCACACTAGGCATCTCATCGATGAAAAGTGTAAGTGACGGATCGGTGCGAATGAGGACTCGGGTAACATAATGCAGGAGAGTGGGGCACTCTGAGCTGCCCTTTGCGGTCTTCGTTTCCTTCATCTACGACACAGTGCACATTGACAACATCGTTAAGAAAGTGTGTTGCGAACTTACCTTCATGAGCGCCTCCAGGCGAAACCCACAGGCACCTCCACGAAAGCTGGACCCATTCAATGCGTTCCCCACTGTGAGTACAGCCTAGAACCCTTGTCACCAGGTTTGAATCACAGATTCGGTAACGAACGCACCCGTAATGTCAACTTGAAACGCACAGATGCTCGTAATTCTTTACACGCATCATGAATGGTTTTTAGATCCGGACGAATTTCCTCAATCTCGAGTTCCAGCCTTTGGCGATATATCATGCACTCTAGCCGCTGCGCGAGTCTCGGAATTGTCATAATCTAAGACGCCGACTTGAATTGCAAGTCAAGGAGTGACGAGCAGCACTCACGGCACTCAAATATTGATCGGCCTTCGCTAGCTTGCTTACATCTTGGAAATCCTTCATACGAGCAACCTTTTCAATGACATTTCAGAGAGTAGAGCGAGAAGGCAGTCAGTAATAACGAACCTCTTCCGGAGATGGTAACTGCTTGCTGATGGCCTTCAAGTCATCGATGGACAGTTTGTCATCAAGACTTAGCAGAGCTTGACTGATTTCAAGAGGTGTCATTTTAAAATGCGAAAGCATTATAGCTAGGGGGCATAATCTGTCAATTGCCTTATGACGGTTGCGATGAACCAACCGATGTTATTAGCACGAGTAATGTCAAGAAGGGTTGTGACACTTTGTTTCCGTGTGGAATTTGCGGCTTTGGAATGTGAGGTCGGTGTATTATTAATTGTGAACGTTGCTTCAAGATCATCTAACTTGAAATCCAGTGAGATCGTCGATTCCGCCCATACTGTGGCGCCGCAATTCTGATTATTGATTTTGGTCCAAAAGAAGGGCTTCAGTCTTGGCCCAGTGGCTTTTGCTTTATTTCCAATCCTGATTGCAGATCCACTCGGTGGGGGTGGAGGTAGAATTCCGGGGAGTCTTGGTGGTAACTGAGCTAGTGAAGCGGCGTTGAGCGGCGGGGGTGGGGGTGGTGGAGGTGGAGGTAGAGGTGGAGGCGACGAAAATGCGGAACCTGAAGAAGGGGATGATGGAAGCGGCGGCGGCGGAGGGGGAGGAGGAGGGGGAGGAGGGGAAGATTGAAAGACTGTCTGACTGGTGTCCATCAACTCCGTGGCAGGGGTCTCTTTAGGATTTGGAACAGCCCATGGAGAGAGAGGTAGTAATGGTGGGGGTGGGGGAGGGGTGGTGGAGGTGGAGGTGGAGGTGGAGGTGGAGGCGGAGGAATGCCAGTCGCATTCGATGTTGCGCTTATATCTGTTTCTTGGGGCGTTTGCACAAAAATCGCTCTGGACTTGAAACCTTGCGGTGGAGGTGGAGGGGGCGCGTTCCTGGACTTGAACTCCATTTCTGACATAGATGTCGATTTCGCAGCCAACAGCTGCCTGAGGTCTGAAACCTCCGTCTTCAGTGCTGTGAGTTCATTGTCTCGCTTGGCAAGATTCTCGATGGTGCGACTCGCAATGAGTTGGGCGTCCATGTCAGAAGCTCTTTCTTCTTGCCTCGTTTGAAAACGTGAGTATACCGATTCAAGAGCGCGTTTGAGGTACACAACCTCCTTGTCTTTGGTGGCAAGAGTATCATTCATTTCGCTCAACTAATTCAGAGTCAGGTGTGCGACATATAGGTTGTGGATGGGTGACATGCCTGAAGCTGCAGTTTATTCATTTCTTCGTGGAGCGAGTGAAGCCTTGCCCTTTCGCGTTCTTTCCTTTCTTGCATCTCCTGAATCAGGTGCATTAAACAACTATTCAGCAAAGTGGGTTTACACAACTTACAGCATCGCGCGCGTTGTTCGAAATTTGAGAGTTCAAGCGCTCAAGTTCTGTTTGTAGTTGAGGCAACTTCCTTCTCCTTCTGCATCAGCCGTTGAACAAGTTTATTCTGTCACGGAATCGGTTTAACCGTTACCACTGATATGACAGCGATCGCACCTCATTTCCTCCTTTGCTAGAAATATTCGGCTTCTGCTGATTTGATCCTGTGCGTTGTTCAAGCCTTGTCTTGAGTGCCGAGTTCTTTGTTGTACATGTGAGATTATTAACAAAACCGAGCTTGGATACACACACCGTCTGAATCAGATCATCTATTTGGACACGAAGGCTTTCCAGCTCGTACTTCATCCCACTATCAACGGCATCTATACTTATATCTTGGCCAGTAATGGGCCGGATTGCATCAAGAAACCTCGTAATCAGAGGAATCCAGCCCAAATCACTACGTGGAGGGTAAGTGCGCTTCAAGACATACCACGAACCAATATTTACATGTCATCTGCAGTGAAAATCTGATCCAAAAATGTATTCACTACAGCTAGTTGATCGACTTTGACGTTCCTGTTATGCCCGTCAAATCATGACATCAACTTTCTGAAAGAGGACTGACAATTTAGCGTCACTCTTTATGATAGAAGACAAGCGGTGCAAAATACTCATTGATATAGATCCGAACCCCACGTTGTTCGCGCTTTGTAGAAGATCATCCAGGAAGATGTCTGATTCAGAGTGCTCCTTTCTGTGGCCCCCATCGCCCCGTACGGCGTTTCGTGTTCGCTCTCGCAGATCTTCTTCATCCTCATACTTCTCCTCCATATAAAGATCCAGTTGAGTCAGTAGAGAGTCTGGCGGTTTCGTATAGCGGAGAGTCTAAACGATAGCTCTAGTTATCGTACAAAGTGGCATGATGACGAGGCATATCATTTCTTACCACAATAACTTCATTTAAGCCTCGCCGCCCAAACTCTTCGCGCAACAAAATGCGGTCTTCCAGGGATTCAGGACAGTTAGTGAGGGCGTTGACGAGGGCCATAAAAGCAGTCCGCGCCTCCCATATACCATCCCCATCGTGCAAGGACACACCGTTGGCTGCAGGGTCGTTACTCTGATCTGATATACGCAAAGCAGCGACCAAAAACTCGAAGCGGTACAGTTCATCATAGGCGATGCGGTAATCTGACAATGCAGCCAAGACGGCCTTGTGACCCTGATTGAACGAGAGTACACAAATCGCAGCAAGAAGTTCAGCAGCAAGCATGCGTGTCTTCAGAGAGGCGCCGTAAAAAGAATACGCTATATGAGTGATGATTGTAGGAGACGACAAAACGCTGTCAAATCCGGCCTAAAAGGATCAGGTATCACGAGGCCTAGTCAAACGAAGATCACATTTACCTGAGTATTGAGAAGTACCCTGAAGCACTTAATGATCTCCAGCAGTACTGTGCTTTCTATGTCCGCCAGGACTGTCCTCTTCCCGCCCTTGCCGACGAGTGCTGCAAGCGCATCACCCATGGCGTTCATGCCATCTTCCGCGATAAAGTCCTCGATCCATGGTAACTTTGCAGTAGACAGATGCACTCGGAGGGAAATGAGATGCTTGACAAGCCTAAAATCCATCCTCATGCCGCGCAAGCCGTCAACATATCGCTTTGCAGATATCGCACTCTCTGTTTCGGCATTCTTCTCTCCACCTGAAGATGCCCACCAGTTGCCGAACATAATGCCAGTAGTTTGTGCTTGCAGAGGTTGCATCGTCTCTGTGACTTTGTCAAATTCGCCGCTAGACCGATTGAGATCGGGTGACATAGCCGGTGGGGCTGCGGTGCTTGTACCCCAAGTCACCATTGAGAAGCGCTTCAGTATTCCCGAGTCGCCTGTTAGCTGGGGAACCAGACGAGGAAGGAAAGCTCCTCCGCCAGAAGTTCCCAATGTAGATTGTGTGGACTGTGATGGTCGAGGAGCCTTTCCGTCAAGAGTCGGATGGAAAACCCGTGCATGTTCAATGATCTGCCGTTTCTTAGCAGCTGGTAGTAGGTACATCTTGTCCCTTGCATCTCCTTTCAATGCCATGTGGTCCTGTTAATGAAATGAACCCGTGATCATAGACGGATAAAGTGCAGGCTTTCTTACGAGGCAGCGTTCGAACTCGGCTGGATCAATCTCCAGTGTCTCATCTTCTAGAATACTCAATTGTGTTACCGACATGATACTTCTGTCAGTCCGTTGCTCGACAAGGACTGGATCGCTCACGCTCTTGCGCTTCTTTGACGACGACGGTGGCGAGGCAGGAGGTGCCGGCTGCTGCCAAGCAAAGAGACTCGTGAATGAATCACGCCAATCTGGAGAAGCTGATCGAGTGGTGCTAGCATTCGCCGTTACTGCATCGAGAGTAGACTTCTTCTGCTTTGCGGTATCATTTGCGGCATCCTCTTCTGCTTTTATGTCCTCAAAGTGCTTCAGGGTGTCTTCGGAAGGCTGGACGGAGAATGGTAAAAGAGCTTGTGGGCGAAGGTACCATTCCTCTGGTACAGAGAACTGCAATGTAGGCTTCCTGTGGAATTTTGCCAAGGATGATTGGACAAGGTCGGACAGTACTGACGAGGATGAGATCCTCGAAGCTAATAAGGAAGTACACAATATGACGAGTGAGCATTACATTAAAAAATAACACATCATCCTCACCACCATCCTGAATGACATACTCAAGGTTGCCTCCTCCGGCCACAGGCAAGCTCTTAGCAAGCCCTAAATCCTCCACCACAGAACGAATAACATCCTCTACAATCGAACTCCGAGCATAATATACCATCCAAATAAACCCGTCATGAATCTCGGGCACACGCGCAAACGAGAGCGACAAAGAAAGAGCCGCATGTAGCGAAACCAAGCGTAGTACTGGAGAATGCAAATGGGACGTCAGAGGAAACGTGGAGAAGTGTCTCTGAGACGCATCATTTATCACTGGACAGTTTGGTTGTTCCAGCAAGGGAGCGATGGGAGTTAACGGGTCGATGATGCCTGAGTCATTCGGAGGACGAAGTGGTAAGTTCCAAGACTGGCAAGCAATACACCTACGCGGGATTGCTCACCATCCCCGAGAGCTTCGAGTTCTGCCTCTTCCCACTTACGACCATTCGGTTGACTACGAACATGCTGCAGGGCCCAGCCAGTATCCTGTAGCTCTCCGAGGACGCTGGATATCACTCCTTCCTGAGCAGTAAGTACTCCGATAAGGTCCTGGGCAAGTGCATCGGATGACACGCTGGAGTGATGAAGAGATCCGTTAGCCAGCAGGACAGGTACAATGAGTAAGTCGTCCGCCATAGCAGTCTAAGTATTTTACAATCGTAACAATAACTTCATCCAGTTCGATCGCCCGACGATGGCCAGTGGAAGCCAGTTATGTTACAACGCCTGGGTTCGTCTCAGTTACTAGTCCTGCCAAATCCTGTCTATCCTGCAGATGAATTCCGGAGCTTCAAGTATTGGGACAGCAGGTCACGGGAACAAGATACCCATTCTGGCATAGTGAGGGAAAATACCGCGACTATTATAATGCACGATTGCAAGGGCCCAGGGTAAAGTACTAAGTCATTGATGAGCAAATCCATCTTCGATCCTTGCTGTCGGGCGTGACACTGCAACAAGTTATGTCGGCGTACTTTCTTGTCTAGGTTCACTACTACTCCAGCCAATATCTTGTAGATCACCATCGTGTCATAAATTATTGGATCCGAGATGAGGGAAATGGAATGAAAACAACAAACAAGACAACAAGCGGGCGACTCTGTACAGGGGAGCCCAACAGAGTCCAGATACTCAGAAAAATGGCAACAAAATCATGCCACAGACGAAGTGCCCTCCGTATCCACCGACGGATGTACCATATAATACACTCTCACATTGTCCCCATCTTGAGTGCTGAGTGGCTGAGCCGGTGCAGACTCATCCGTCGTAGACTCTGGCAGTGAGTCTTGGACATCACCGCGCACCTCAATGAGGTAGTTATCCTGTCAAGTTGTGAGCATAAAACGACAAGGCAAGGCCACCAGAAATATCTCACCTTCACCAGCTTCCTCAGTAGCTTCGAAATGAGCTCCTTCTCATACTCCAGCTCATCCACATCCTGAATCTCCGATTCCTTCAGCTCCAAGTACCAATCAATCAGCTCATCACGGTCAACGCCCCGCCCAGTCTCACGCTCAACTGCAGACAGATGCAGAACTACAAGGCTCTGTAGCGTCATGTATTTGTCGTGCGTTATGATCATCCTTCTCTTCGGAGCAGGAGCAGGCGGTGGTGCAACATCAGGCAACATGCTGCCTGCGCGCGACGTTGACGATGGTCCAGCACCACCACTGCTCATAGCAGTGCGGTTCAAGGTCATGCCCAGAGAGCTTTCTTCCATTTGGTCCATCGCATCCATCTCCGCTGCGCTCATCTCGATATCTTGGCTCTCTTCAATCGCATCTGAGGTCTCGTTGGCAGGAACGTTCCGTGCCTCGCGTTCGCCCTCTAATTCTTCCTCGTCGAAATCGATATCGTCTTGTTCGACGTGGATAATACTCTGACGCAGAAGAGTGTATGCTTCTCGCACGAAGACTGGCGTGATTTCTGCTGTGCAGTTGGCACGGGCGATGGCTTCGCTTAAGCGGATCATCGATTCGAGTTGACGAACGGTGATCCTATAGGAATGACGCCCTGCTCCTGTTGCGTCATCCTGTCGGAGGATGCGGTACTTCTCTACGAGAATATCGGCGGCCTCTGGAGTTAGCTGTACAAAAATCAGTAATATCCAACGGATATCAGGTTGTATCCTACCTTGGGGTTGAACGTCCTGGCATACCGGATGTACCGCTGCAGGGCCTCCGTACTGAACTCTGGATTAATAGCTTCATCCTGAACCGATGCACATTTACAATATGCTTAGCGATGTTCAAGTCTGTCTTCTCAGTCGCACTCATCGAGTACAACAAAGAACAGATCGAACCTGCTCATAATTGGGGCGCTCATAGCGACGTTGGCTCTCAGCGTCCGCTTGCGATCGTAGCGTCCACCTATGGGATTAGCTGCAGCTAGGATACTCGTGCGGGCGTTGAGGGTCGCATGGATGCCCGCCTTCGCAATGGAAATTGTCTGTTGTTCCATCGCTTCGTGAATAGCAACTTGGTCAGAAATATCCATCTTGTCGAATTCATCGATGGCGCAAATGCCGTTGTCCGCAAGCATGAGCGCACCAGCTTCGATCGTAAAGTCACCAGTCTCTTCGTCTTTGACGACGGCAGCTGTCAGACCTGCCGCTGACGAGGCTTTGCCAGATGTATAGACTGCTCGCGGGAGAAAAGAGCAAATGTATCTGTTAGTGTATTAGCAGTTGATTTAGTGTGCTTTTATCATCGGTTGTGAAACACACTTTAAGAATTGTGATTTTGACGTGGAAGGATCGCCGACAATGCAGATGTTGATGTCCCCACGGAGGTGCATGCCCTCAGCTGTTTGCTTGTGGACACCGCCCATAAGCTGCAGAAGGAGTCCTTTTTTGACAATTTCGTGACCGTATACGGTGGGCGCTATGCTCTCCACCAGCCGAGAGTATATGTGATCCGAGTCGATCATGCTCTTGAGCTCATCAAATTCAGGTTCGGTCAGCGAGCGGAGGAATGCCTGTCCATCCTCTTCGCCCTCCTCCTCTTCTCCACGAACATTAGTGCCACCCTGAGGACAAATTAAGATTCTTTAACGTGAACACAAGTACATATACATACCCTGCCATCAGCATCGTGCACCATGCATGCTAGGAATGCAGTCTTGTACTGCATGTCCCGCACACCAAGACTCTTGAGCCCCGTCACACCACTTCCACCTACACCACCTGCTGACGCGTTTGCCCCGCTCTTACTTGCTTCACGCATTAGCTCAGCTTTGTTTCCACCTGGCAGTCCGAGCTGGCTGACATCCGGGACAACAATAAAGGTTCCAGTGAAAACACATTTATCTCCTGCCTTGGCACGTTCGACAAGTTCAGACCGAAGGATGACGTCCAGAGATCGAGGCATGGAACCGGTGGGTATCTCAGATGGATTCTCCTGTATGCGGACCTTCTGCCAATCTGTAAATTTGGAAGTATCGATTTGAAGCTGCCATGCGACACGGTTTCCGCATGTAGGATTAGGACAGAGACTTGGCTGGACGTATATAAGCAAATACATCCATGTATCTTCGAGGGACGTAACGTTACCTCGGTGTATTTGAACTGCTGCTCTATCTCGTTGACGAGACCACCGCAGACTTCACAGATGAAGCTACCATAAAGGAGTTCAGGCCTCACTTCGCTAGTCCGAGTGACAGTGCCGCTGATACTCATTAAGGTGCCTATCTTATCAGTTCTTAGATCACGGATACCGGATACTAGAGGTAGATGGTAAAATGCGATATTGAATTCTCGTGACTGGAGGTTTGCGGAGTCGGTTGTGGCGGCTGTGGGATTGATCTTGAGGTACTCGGGCTCATATTCTGCGACAAGATTGTGCAGGGCACGACGGAGGTAAGGAAGGAAACGGTAGTACTGCTTCTGAATCGCGTCTGCAAGGACATCATCTTTTTGTAGGAGATGTGTAAAGTCGACATAGAGGGTGGTTATCTCGTATTCACGCATCGTGTGGATTTGTTGGATGTAGATCAATTCGCCCTCGATGACCTCTGGAAGGTCGCCATCGGATGCGGGTGTTGAGGCCAATGCGACTTCTTCGGTAAACCTACAGAAAATAATCAGAACACACAAAATATATACTCTGATGTGACCTACGTCTTTAAGAAAGTCTCAAAGCTCTCAGACACGCTCTCGCCGACAGCATCTCTAACGAGTGGGACATCACCGTTTTGCTGATTTCTGGGTCGCCTTCTCCGTCGTGATGTGGCACTGTCTTCCTCTGCCTCCTGAGCTTCGTCGTCGTTAAATGCAAGTGCATCAGATGTTGGTCTCCTGCCTGCGGATCTGGGTGTCCCATTAGAAGAGGACATGGTGGCCATCGGAGCGCTGCTTGGCGGCAACGACGACCTGGGCGCTGGTGGAGAAGATGGCTCGTCGATATCCATGTTACTGAATCGAAGAAAGAAAATTGCAATTCGAAATCGAAAGTTGGTGATTACAATTACTTTGATCGCGACGCGTTAGAACACGAGCCTGCCTGCCCTCAAGCGTCTCGATGAGATGTCACATCTGTGACATTAACACGTGATGCAGGTTATGCTTATGTGACGATGACTCAGCTAAATTTAGCCCATTCCAAGGCAGGAGCCTCCTTCAAAGCTCAGAACGAGGAATGCAAAATTCAGTACTCAGTGCTCTATGTCAGTATATGTCCTAGCTTAGCTTACCAGCAGTATTGTTGTCATGCAAGCGAATTAGGGGCATGAGCTTTATATGAACTGGTATGATGCAAAATTAGCATTTGGACGGATGCATTTGCGAATATTTCTGGTCCTGACTCAGTCCTCAAGGCTTCAAACCATCGCTTCATTCCTGTCACCAATGATCGCTAAGGATTCTGGACTAGAGCCTCTCGATCCTGCATATGTGGCAGATGTGCTTTCCAGACCTCCTTTTGTTCAGATCCCAGGCGTGTGCAACGTCCGCGATCTAGGTTCATATCCTACTGCGACTCCAGACGTAGTTACAAAGCCCGGTTATGCCTATCGTTCAGCAGAGCTTTCCGGTATCACCGAAGAAGGTTTATTCTTCAAGTTTTCTTAATATACGAAAACTCACTCCAATGCAAGGTGCACGGAAAATGGTCTCGCTCGGAATTCTGACCGTCTTTGATCTGCGATCAGATCCGGAGATGAGAAAGTATAGCTCTCCGATACCTACCATCGAGGGTGTACAGGTAGTCCACACGCCCGTATTCAAGAGCGAGGATTACAGCCCAGAAAAGCTCGCCAAGTGCGTACGTGCTGCCACCGTGCCGCCCCATTTATCACTGATCTTCCTGAAGGAGGTTTGAGCTCTACGCAACCGGAACAACAGAGGTGTGCGGCCTGATCAAACATTTTATAAAGTAATCGAACTCCTGCAGGCTTTCATGATCCTTTACTCCCAAATACTAGAACACGGCGGGCCCGCATTCGGTACCATTCTACGCCATGTTCGGGACAAACCAAATTCTCCTTTCATCTTTCACTGCACGGGTTCGTTCATACTTCTTCTTTTCATCTCGGTAGTTTCTCAATTTCTGTTAGCTGGGAAAGATCGGACAGGAATTATCGCTGCCATCCTTCTCAAGGTAAATCGCTGCCGTTAGTCCCTTTCAGCATCGTAACATCATTCCTTCCAGCTAGCAGGCGTGGACAATCACTTTATCTCGCAAGATTACTCCCTTACACGAGTAGGACGCGAACCAGACCGCGCAAAGGTCCTAGGAAGACTCATGAAAGAGCCTTTGTTTGCTGCCAACTCTGAAGCTGCAATGCGCATGCTGACATCTCGGTATGCGAAAATCAGATCCTCCAACACTAATCCTCAACGTCTTTCCTCAGATACGAGACCATGCGAGCCTTCTTCAATCTCCTGGAGGAGAAGTATGGTGGCGTAGAGACGTATGTCAAGACTTATACCGAGCTAACAGACGAAGACCTGAAAAACATCCGTTCAAACCTCGTCGTTCCAGCAAAGTCTCGGATGTAGATATTTTTGGTCTCTTGCCACTTACCTTGCATCATATCACCACTGCCCATCATTGATTCGTCATGTTATCCATCATTAGAGTATCATGTGCATGCAAGTATGTACTGTATGTCCGCTGCAAACCAAACCTATCAAAACAATACCTAATCACCCCTTCCTGGGTCCTACTCCAGGTAAGCCCAGAGTCCGCCTCGGCCTCTGTTGCATTACTCCCGGTGTCGTCGTACCCTGCAACGTGCTCGCCAGCAGCCCATTCTGCCTTGCCTTTGGATTGAGCGGGCTCAGTGCAGGCTTCGACGGAATAATCGGTGGCACTGGGAGGTCGCCTGTCACTCGCCGCCGCATTGGGGGTTTGGTGGATGCAGGCGGCGAGAGCGGCGTAATGGTGATATCATCCTGGGATGAAGCATTACCAAGATCCTGACGTCGCGCTTTCTCGTGCTTGCTTTGTAGCGCGCGGAAATGGTTGAGAAGTTCTTGCCATTTTATCTCATCGCGGCCGAGCTTGGAGCGTGAGGCAATGGGATTAGGTGTCCTAGGATTGATTATCATTAACGCATGATGAAACGAGAGTGGGTAAACTCACGCTTTGGGGGCAATGTGGAGGAAGCCGGCAGAGTTGACTGCGTTGAGACGGTTTCGGAGTGAAACGAAAGCGGTGGATTGGGGGAGCAGCATGAGCAACCCATATAGGCATTTGAACAAGTAGGGGTAACGCTCAGGCTCGAGGAGTTGAAGGCGTAGGTCTTCCGGAGCATCATCAACCTCTGATTCATCTCATTGGTAGATAACTTACAAGTGAACACGGGAGATTCGATCAGCTGCACTAACTTGTCGACTTGAATTAGGAGTGGAACAGTGATCTCCAAATCAGCACTGGCATAGTATTTGTTAGCAACGATCAAACACGCCATGTGAGACAAATTTACAAGATAGATAGCAAATTTGATGCATGCTCGTAAGCTTGCGCAAGCAGGCACAACGAAAACACTGCAACCGCATTATGACACCATGACCTGTAAAGCGTGGTAAACAGCGCCTGGCCATCTTGCTGCACATGCCATCAGTCAAGAAATCAAACGAGAATGCGACCAACCAACCCTTGTCTCAAGGCTCTTCAGCCGTTTTCGGAACTCCGCCAGTTCAGGCGAAGTGATCAGGATCATATTCAACTTCTGCACGATCTCGCTTGCAAATTCCAGATCCTGTGAAATAGCGGTCAGCTGATATTGCATTAGGGACCACGAAAAACAAGCAACCTCTTCTTTCTCCAAAATTTCTGCAAACGTCTTATATATCCTCTCCGTATTGAGATTGAGACACAACTGGCGAATGATGAGACTGCCGCGAGCCTCAAGGAGCTTCCTATCTGTGCTGAAGAGTTCGAGAAGGTTCATCATAAAAACCTTGAAGTAGCTCTCTTCTGAGGAGGACGATATTTGCGCGAGGAGCTGCAGGTCGTGTTTGATAACCTAACGAAAATATGAGTGATACGATGCAAGTCAATGCATATTTGAGTACTTCTTCGGACGAATCCGACAATGTCTTTAGCAAAGCCGGGAAAGTACCATCATCCATCGCAAGGATCTGTCAATCTCCTCAGTTTGTACATCCTCTAAACGGACTCAAGCACACCTTCTTCGGTGCTTTCTGGTGCAGCATTATAAGCCACTTCAGTGCAGCAACCCTAGTTTGCTCATGCTCGCTCAAAAACTGTATTGTCAGCTCATTAACTGTTGCCTGATAATTAAACTGGTCTGCTTCCTCCTGCACGGGTGAAGGAGGCGTTGGAGCTGGGACTGGAGCTGGGACTGGTGGCGCTGGCGGAGCACCCACGGCACTATTTGATGACATGCGTGACTGAGGCCTGCTCGAAGATTCCGTAACGGTAGTTTGCATTGTCCCAGAGCGAGGGCGCTGTATCATGGTGGTCTTATCAGATGAAGACGATGGCTGGTTATCGCCCATTGACTCGGGAGAAGAGGCTTCTCTGGATGGTGGCTGTACAGTTATCTGTCGTGAAGGTTGGGGAATTGGGGCTGGCGAGCTTCCTGGCGGGATTGACTTCTCTATTGTGTTCTGTCGAGATAGGCCCTCCACTGGCCCCGGTAGGTTTTGGATGACGTTCGAAAGTAGCTTGTTAGTCCGGATTGCAGCCGACTGGATCATCGGGACATGGTGTGCTAGATTCGGGAGTATGGCAGGAATAAGACGAGGCGTGAAAGGCACCATAACATCGGGCACAAAGGTCAAGAACTCGGCAAGCCAACGAAGGGCTGTAGACTGTTGAATTTCGTCATCTGCGCATGCAAGATAAGTATGATGCAATGTTAACTTGGATGGAAACAGCTCACGTTGGTTGTCAAGTTGTTGTATGAGAATTTCTATTATGGCTGCATAGTCTATCCGCACGCCCTGCCCAGGAACCAAGGCTGCACGAGCAATGAGTAGTTTCAATGAACGTGTTTCAATAACCCCTACCTCCAGTGCCGCGGTAGTCTTCTGACTTGTGCTCATCCTTCAAACTGTACTCACCATCATGATCGTGACCAAAATCACTCTCAGGGATGAAAAGTGCGCGTTCAGAGTGAGACATCGTGATGTCAGGAAGCTTCTCATCTGAGCGTCGTAGATCGGAGGACTCAGCGTGTTCTTCTTTGCGTTGACGAACCATACTGACGTCTTTGATTTCACGTAGGAAATCAGCAAGAATATTCTCTGTGGCTACGCGCACATCCTCGGTGGGGTCTGATAGGTACTTCCTGGATAGATGCATCAGCGAGGATTTGAGCCACAAACCCTCCGACTCACAGGAGGCCGTCTAGGAACTCTGGGAGGTACGTTATAAGTTCGAGCTCTGGGACCGAGTCAAGCACTGTTATCCATGATACCAAGTAGCTCCTTGTGAATGGACTAAGAACATATATCCTGTCTTGCAGAAGTGGAATAAAGCGCGCCAAGGAGAATGCCTTCTTCTGCACGGGAACGTTTTCTCCTAGGGACCGGTCATCGGGGTAAGCAACAAGTATACTCTGCTCCTGGGAATCGAACAAGTCGCGAATCCTCTCCGTCTCTGGATACTGCGGAATATACACCGAAGCTGTCTCTGCCACAATATCCTTCAGAAGTCTATCAAGCAGCTCCGCCCCATTCTTGACCGATAGCTCTGAATCAGCGGCTAGCTGAGAAGTTCGGCTCAGTCGTAATGCAAAACTTGACGAGGAGCTATCGCACTTTACTGAGGGCGTCGAATATAGGGTTGAAGTAAACAAGAACCTCGCCCTTGGACACCTTTGCGATGTTGTACAAACATTCAGCGGAGAAATATCGTATTCTGTTTTCTGGATCCGTAAAGCATGCTAACACGGGTTCGATGAATTTCTCCATGTACGGAGCAACGTCCACGCCGAGGGCAATGGCTGTACCAGCTAGGCCAATGAGACCTCCGTTCCTGATGTGAAGGGGATTTGACGCATTGCTGAACATATCCACCAGCTGTTCGATGATCTGGGTTATACGACGTTGGTCACTTTGCTGGTGGCATTCCCGAATCTGCCTGAGAACCATTAACGCATTACTATCAACGGCAAGCGAGCGTAGTTACTTCTCTAATTCGAGAGCGGCTGCCTTTCTCTTCTCATAAATCTTGTCTACGAGCTGCTTTGCCACGGTGGTGTCTGCAAGACGGTGTCAAGTAGGCGTTTGATTACGAGCAAAGGACTTACCCATGATTCCAGTTGCCCTGCGGTTTACAATAGAACTGACCGCACAGATATTAATGAGAAAAGTGGCGTCAAACCACCTCTGAAAGTTAACAGAACGAAAGTACTGACTGTACCTGGCCCACCGCGCCGCACTCAATGATCACTACGTCACGTGATTCTTCTGACAGGCGGAGCCAAATGGAAGGTGTACACAGCGTAGAATCTAGATGGCTAGAGCTAGACTGTCATTGGCTATACAATAGACTCACTCGTCCAAAAAAAAATAAAAAAATCTAGACGGCCAAATACATGCCATCATGCATCATCATATTATCGATCATTAGCCTAACTAAAACTTGGCTATTACTGTTTTGTACTACATATCCTGATGCTGATTCAAGAGAAGAAGCTAAATAGTGCCCCAGTTTGGCTGTTTCTAAAACCGAATAATCCCTTGAACGATGACCCGCTGAACTTTGCTGAGCGAAGAAGAATCACTCAAGAAGTTGATATCGTAAGGAAGCTATCTTCGTAAAACATCTTCTAGCACAACACGTGCATTTTGTGCATCGGCACGTCCACGGCTGAGCTGCATGACTTTACCCACGAGCTTGTTGAGAACTCGAGGATTACCTTGGCGCACTGCTTCCGCCTCTTTAGGAAGCGCCTCAATGGCTTCGACACACCATGCTCGAGTGGAGGCGTTATCATCTTCTGATACAGCCTCAAGAGAAAGCTCCCGTGTGAGCGCAGAGGGAGCTGATGAAGAACGATTGGCAATAATATGCTTCAATAACGATTTTCCCGAAGTCCCTGGTGGTGATAATTGATGAATATGACGCTGGACGAAAATATAAGGCTTACCAGTAATTTTGCTATCCTGCACTAGGTCGATGAGTTCGCCTAATTGCTCGACAGATACGGGATTATCGCTGAAGGTCTCTTTCCGAGCAGTCAATTGTCCAATGAGCTCGTGCGTCATCCTGGGTGTAAACGTATATGCATAAAACGTCTACAACCAGGAGAAAACAAGACAAACCAGTTGACAACGACTCTCGGGTCCCTTTGTTGCGCAAGGGAGTCAAAGTAAGTCACAGCACCTTTTCCAAGTTCGCCATCAAATCCAATCTCGCGACCCGAGTCGACAGCCATGAGTACATCTGCATCACGCTCGGATAGCCCAAGATTCAGCAAACGGGCACGGGTTGCATCAGGGAGGTCCGGCATGGTCTTGCGGATTGTCTCAATGTACTCCTATGCGGTGTTTCAGGTGACATGAGCAGAATTACAAGTAGGCTGTTACCTCGGATAACAGCAATGGAGGAATATTCGGGTCCGGCATGTATCTATAATCAGGAGAATCTACCTTGCTTCTGAGCTTGAAAGTTTCAGCCTTATTTTCATCAAATCCTCTGGTGTCCTGCGGCACAGAGCAGCCACTTTCGAGCAGCTCGATATGACGAAAGACCTCTGAAGCTGTTCGAAAATTAAGAACAATTCGGAATGGCTGCGCAGACAGTTTACTGACTGATCGCCATCATCATGAACTTCACGCTGTTGAGATTTTTGATCTCGCAACGAGTGCCATGCGGCTGTCCGTGTTTGTTGACAGAGACATTCACATCGCAGCGAAAAGACCCCTACAATAAATTAAGAGTGAATCACATTTAAATGAGACCGATGCCCTACTTGTTCCATGTTGCCATCACTGGAGCCAACACAGCGAAGGACGGCCTGCAATGTCCGAACATAATCTGCGGCTTCCTCGGGGGATCTACATAAGTGGACCAAGTTACCACAGGAGAATGATGAAGATCAAAGTAATTCACCGCATATCAGGCTCTGAAACTATCTCCATCAACCCTGAGCCGGCTCGATTTAGGTCAATCAGTGATGTATGTCGAAGCCCATCAAACGTGGACTTTGCCGTATCCTGTATACATTTCGGCTTCGGTTCATACACAAAACTCCATCCGTCTTACCTGTTCAAGTTGAATCTGCGTGATTCCCACTGCAACATCGCCTTTGGAGAGCTTTATATAGCCACCCGAGGCCAGCGGAGCTTGTAGAAGAACAGATTGTCGGTGTTCATGATCTACGGAATTGTGGGTTGAGCTTACAGTAACGCTGGGTTATTTGATATCCTGCTGGGAGGTCGGAGTAAAAGTAGTGTTTCCTGTCGAACGCCGAACGGTGATGAACTTTCGAGTTAAGTGCTAGCGCCGTTCTGACCGCTAACTCCACGCATTTTGGGTTCAATACCTGAAACGCGAGATCAGTTTGCACGCCGGGAGATCGGGTAGGTAGGCCAACCGGTAGTGTTCCAGGGAATGCGGAATCGAATGCGGACACGGTGGTATTGGGTGTCTCACCGGGACGAGATGTAAATGACTCTGTGCATGTGAGAATGAAGCCGAGTTGGACTGGAGAGACGCACCTGAGAAGAGCTTGCGGCGGGACTTGATCTGGGCATGCACTTCAATACCTATAATTACTTGCCAGCCAGGCCACCGCTTGTCGTGGATCACTTCGCGAGTATGGATTGCTCGTGAACGCCAGAGCTGGTGCAGCTGTATAGAGCGCCATGGACAATGTCGAACAAGCATCAAAATTATAACTTTCCTTTCCGAGAAAGTGTAGCAGTCAGGTGCAACGTGGACCAAATATAACGCGTTAGGCTGTTCAAAGCTGTGCGTAGCTGAGAATGCGAAGAGCGTTTATATCCTTGTCCTAGTGGTCGCCGCCGAAGGCCGCTCATTCTAACCCATTTCTTTTTAAATCTTCTATTACGGACCTATTATTTACTAATTGTATCAAGCATTATGCCCGCAAATCTCCATTCGAACCTCTGGTCGGTGATCCGACAGGATAGCATTAGTACTACTGTTAGGGAGGATGATGAAGAGCCTTTCCTCCCAGTTTACGAACCCCCTGTGGGAAGCAAAGTGTAACTCTGTGCTCCAAATGGCTTCTTTTGTCGCTGATTGATCTGCTCCGTTACTTATCCATTGTGGGGTCGTCTATCTATGCGGTGTCGATCATGAATATTAGATATCGGGGACCGCCTCTCGCACTGGCAAGATCGATTACTTCAAAGTGCGTGCGTATATATCTTGGTAGTTTTGTGGCTGCTAATAGAGCCATCAGTCTCTCAGAATCGTTTTTGCAGATGGATACACAAGAGACGGTGGTATATACCTACAACTTACAAGTTGGGTGTGCTCCCCTGCAATTCTCAGTGCTGTATGTTGTCCCATCACATTCCCCATCGTCATGATTTACCTGAAATGGACAGTGTTGAACCTGAAGCAGATCAACCAAATCACTACACCCTCTCACTTTCAATGAAAGCTGGTTATGTTGAAAGAGCGCTCTGTGATCCAGTCACCCTGAGACTATCAATAGACCCCCGGCGGCTGGACTTCTCTGTTTTGTAAGTCACAACATGCCAAGCTTAACAAGAAGGCTCACCCACCTACCAGCATCTTTCCTCCACGAACGAGTTTACCAGCTGGCTGTCTGTACAACCTGCGCTGTTTGGCTCCAGACTGCAGGCATCGACCATCGGATATTTAGCGATAACGATCTTTGGGTTGGGAGAGACCCCGATTTTCGATCTGTCGGAGACGCTTGTTTTGCTGTACTGCGAAATGCAACACAAGACATGCTGATATATCAGGGCGTCGTAGGTCGTGCGCACGTTAGCTTTATAATAAGGTTCGTCCCTTCTCCATAGCATAAGACCCCAGTTAAATATAAATAATATAGATGGAAGCTCGTAGAAGTCGGCCTATACAGTCTCTCCCTAGAGTACGAAGCCGGAGGCGCCGGTCGAACACTCTTCGAAAATCACTACATGAGACTAGAGTGCGAACCACAAATCGTCTCATTCCTGATTTAGTACGTCCCCCTTCTATAACGTCCATTCACAACCTCACTGACTTCCCTCAGCGTCATACCTGTAACTTCAACACCCGCTGGCGCATCCCACCGCCTCCGCTTCTGGCTCCGCACACCCTTCGTATCGCAGTCCCCCGCCTCCTCCACCGTCTCTCAATCCGAATCCTACATCTACCAGCGCATATGGAAATCAGACGATTTCAAGATAGGCGCTGGTCTCAACTTTGAAGCACTAGGATCTAAACTTGTGATGGGTGTCCGCGATCCAGATTCACCGCGAATAGAACGTGATCTTCCGTGTTTGGACCCTAGCCGACGCCGGAGCTTGCGGACACCTACGAACTGCAATTGGTAAGCTCGTCTCTATCACACAATTTTTGACCCCAGTACCTCACATATTTATGAACCTGATGCTATGCTTCTCACCTCACGACAGTTCTGACATGCACGTTTATTTCATTTATTTATTCACATCCCACATTTAACATCGAAGAAAATTTATAGTTCATACGTAAACTACGATACAAAATTGTGTCTCTGGATTTTAAAATGCTGAAATACGAAGGAAAAATATCAACGCTGCCAAAATTGAGTGCCAAGGCGAAGAGTGATTAAAGTGAAAAATAGCGCAAACGCTAAGGGTGGAGATGCGACAATAAAAGCCAACAGACATAAGTGTAGCACTCATCCCACTGTACTGCGCTGTTGAGGTTTGAACGTTTGCCCAATGTATCTCGTCATGTGCTTCGGTCCCTGTGGAAAAATGGATAAATAAACCAAACACCTGCAGGATGGCCATGCCAATGAAAACTGGGCTGTTGTGCCATGACAACTGGTCTGTGGCCCCCAGAACGAGCAAGCTGGAGCAGAGCTAGAGCTTGGAGAAATTGTTCAAGGGACCAGCACCGCTGTGAGGAGACCATTTATCTATTGTGCTCCCGTGGCGACGGCAGCGTTTTCACCAAGGGGAAGTTGAGGTGTCTTGATTTCGTTGACAGCCCTATTGATAGGAGCATATAGGCCATTGGTTTCGCCATGTGCCGTTGTACTTGAGAATGACAGGCCCGGAATACCATTCTCGTTATCTTGTGTCGTCTCCGATCTGCTAAGCACGCAGCCGCGCGAGATCAATGGTAAAAACATGTGAGAAAGTGTGTACCAACCGTCTCTTCTTGTTGGGCATATCGGGCGAAGTATTGCTTGACTTGCCCGATCCCTTCACGCGCATCGTAATGCAGGTCAGTCATGCTCAAGGAAACTACTCAAACAACCCACTTTGCTTGTTTTCGGGCGTTTCAGCGCTTGTTTTGGTTGTCGCTCGCCTTCATCAAATACGTAGTCGGGAAGGGCAGAACTAGTGAAATGAGTGAGATCGGAAGGGATGACTTGCCGCATCGAATTGCACGACCTTTTGATGTTTCGCACCACAATACCCATCGTATCCTCGTCGTACTTCTCCCACATCTTGACGAGCTTGGTAAACTCGGTGGTCGGATATGATATATCGAGCCTCCGCGGGCCTACAGCACCAACTTGAAAACAGAGAATATGATGAGTTGCAGACATTCCGCAGGGAAACCATGTAGGAACCGAGGACGCACGAGGCTTGGGTTCGATAAGAAGTCCAATGTAGAAGGTCGTCGAGTACACTGTACTCGCACCATCGAGGCCTTCAATATCAGCTTTTGCTCGCTTGGCGATGACATCTGAGATCTGTCCCTGTGCAACCTGTCTGACTTCCTCTTCCGTTATACAATGTAAAATTTGATCAAAGCCTTTGATAAATGGATGCGCGAGAATCAGTGAATCCACGTATTCAAGCTTCATGACCAGTTGCCGTATCCGAGACTCGACGGTTCCTGCCCTGGACGTGACTTGCAGACTTGCCGAACGTACAATGGAAGGAACTCTTACCATTTTATCTGCGCTTCAGCAGTGGCAGTTGATGCAATAACTTGAAGGTAATATCGATACTTGTGGAAGAAATCGTGTTTCTGGAAAAGTTCTGACCAACTTGCTGTCCCGACAATGACCTTATCCACGATGTCTGCTCCTATACGACCTTGAGAATACCACAAAAGGCAGGGTTACAATAAGTACAGTCACCTTTCTTGAACTCTTCAGTGACAATCATCTGTGTGGATGCTGTTACATTGTGAGTTGAGCACATTGCAGGATATGCGGGAGTAATGATAGGCATCCTATGTGATCGATCTGCAGGATAAAGCTATGGAAAGCAGATGAACAAAACTGCCTGATGTGCTCAAAGGAATAAAGCATACTTTTGGATTCCAAACGCGAACTTGTAATGGTCCTTCTTCTATTTGTTTCAGCAGCACCGGTTGGGGCCACGACCTGGATATCAATAGCATACACGCACACAAGGAACTTCCATAAGCAGGCGCACCATTGGTACATGATGATAAAAAATCGGCTAACAATCGCTCCTGCGGTAGCATTGGGATACAATTGACATATTCGGGCGACAAGGATCGCCCATGCAACACCACCCAAGAACCCGTTTACATTCGAGTAAATGGCCCTCCCTGAACGTACATCAGCAAAGCACCTCACCCAAAGGCATCCAGCAGAGTAACTCACGTTGGGCCCAGAGCTTGATGCATCGAAGTGAATCTCGATAGACCTCAACATGGGGTACCAGGCGCAGAATTTCATCATTCACCCGTGAACCTACGCGCATGTGAATATCGATGAACAATACTAAACGCAGTACCTACCTCCAAGACTTCGCACACACCGCTCGTCCAGATTTCGCAAGAGGTTATCATCCTTTAATGACAAATCATCTGGTATAGATGATAGCGCCAGACGAGCCATCAGGAAATCTAATGGTATTCCTGAAATTTTGGTCTTGATAATTGGAACGTACGCTTCCGGCACACCCTAATCGTCATCATCATCAGTCCATGTTGCAAAAGCCAGTACTATTGGATCAAACTCACCGATACCTCCGTAGCATCCTCCAGCTCTCTAAGCATTGGCTCGAACTTTTGGAAAAAGTCTTCGCGAGATACATGTTTAGGAACAACGCAAAGAGTATCAATATCAGACCCAGGTCCATGAACGCCGAGACGGTATGAACCGAAGGTAAATATTTTCCCCCCAGCAGCGTTCGCCGCTGCTTCCGAAAGTCCGCGAGACAAGGACACCTCATACACAAATTTTTTGACGGCAGCAGCTACACGACCGAGCACCGTTTCCCTGCGAAAATCGAAAGCGACCTTAGCATCGCTTGCCTCTCCAAAGGATGCACTTGAAAAGGCTAGACACGGAGAACAACCCGAGAACCGTGAAATGCGTATCCAGTGATCTTCAACGATAGCGCAGCCCCCACGAGGTTCTCGGCGAGCCGGTTTTTGTCCGTGCATCGACGTTCAATGAAAGCAAAAAAGTATCGATCCTACCTGAGCCGGGCCTCCTCCACACTCTCAAAAGTATTCTGTCTTCTCAGCTCCTCCATCAAGGTTGCTGTGACCTCCTTTTCCCTCTCAGTCGATTCGGCCGTCGAGATTGGTGGTGTGACCCCAAGAAACCTAGGACGATTGTCAGCTCAATGATTAGATGAATGAAGCTTGTATTTACCCTCTCTCCGTGGTCATGATTGCGTGAAGTCGAGGCAGGAACTGACTTGTAGCTGAACTTGCGTCGAACGACTTGATCGTGTAGAGTTGCGGGTAATGGAATTGGAATCACCCGCGCCACCATTTCAGCAACTTGCTTAGTCATCTGAATCCTCGAGCATTCGCATTGCACAACTTGATCATAAAAGTCTTAGTAAAACTCTAAGCTCTAAGGCCTAAGGGGTAGCATGTAAGGGTAGGGGTATGTACTGTCAGAATTCGAAGGCACTGGCAATATACGTATGATATATGCTATAAAAAACACAACGTCCCGATTGATCCAGGTAGGGAACAGAAACGCCCGGTAATCTATCGATCGTCAGGAGAATGGCTATGAAAAAGTACCACGTTACAATGAAGAGAACAGGTGAAGAGAGCGTGGGTAGAAGCAGGAAAGTATGTACAGGAAGCTCAGAATTGTTCCTTGCTTCGAATATATCCCTTTTGGACGTTCCGCGTATCTTTGAAGTGAGAGCGATCCGCTGCACGCTTGAGGGCCCACTTGCGGATAAACCATGCAGACAAGGCCACAAAGATGATACCACCGATGACGCCTATCACGATACCGACTATTTTACCGGTTGAAGAGTGACTACTCGTCGACGGCGAGGGTTCGGAAGGACTAGAGGGCGAAGTCGATGGGTTTCCACCAAATGGCCAATAGTCTCCACCTTCAGGAGGGAAAACACAGGTTAACGCGTCTCCATCGGTGTTAGTCTGGAAGTTTGATTGGGTCGTGCTCTGCGCGGTGTTGTTGATATCCATAACAAAGGGTGCAGGAGAAGGTGTTGGGTCACCAGTGGTGCAGTTGGGACCCCGTGCCCCAATAAAAGAAGTATTTCCGATGAGGACATTATTTTCTACCGTAAAATTGGTTGCAGACGATATGGCAATGCCGTAGCTGAATGCGCCAGTGAGTTGGTTGTTAAGCACTGTCCCGCCAGTGCTGACGTTGTTGAGATACTCATTCCCGAACCAGGTTCGAGGACCAATCGCAATTCCGATTCTGAATTATTCTTGTCAGCACCTTCATGAGACATAAGGAAAAAAAGGTGGATGCCCGTACTTGATGATGACATCCTCGTTATTTGTACCCTTGGTGGCTGACCCCGTGTCAGGGTTAGTGGCGAACCCACCCATGATGGTATTGTTGGTAACCACAACCCCCTTATAATCACCACTATAGGGCGATACATCAACCATGTTTATTCCTCCGAGCAGTGTATTCTGCATTACCGTGAGAAACCAACAAAAAGGTATGAAAGACATTCACTTACATTCTCGACCCAGATCGTGTTGTTTTCAACCAGAGTCCCGGGAGAGCCAAACAGTACGATGCCTCCGTCCGTCGGATTATTGATCATATTGTTACGAACAAGGCTGTTTGAGCACGCCACACTAATTCCGTCGGCCCACTGCTGGAAAAGATCGGATCCTGAAGGTCCAATATCATTGTTTTGGACGGTAACATTGTTGCAATTCAAAGTTCCCTCAGCAACATGGAGACATGACCAGCCCCTGGGGTCCCAAGAATGCACGTATTCGATAAGCTGGTTCGAGTTTGGACCGCCCATTTCAATATTTGCGCCTCCAGCAGTGGGAGGCGCGCCAGCCCGCGTGCCATTGATCTATGAGATAAGAATTAGCGCGAGAGAAAATAATGAAACGCGCATGATTTTACCTGCACGTTTCGCAATATCACACCGTCACAATTAGCGCAAGTACCATCGACGGCCGTTGTCTGGCCAGTACCATTTGTGATAGTGCCGTTAACTACTAGGACAGCTCTTGTATTATCAGTGGGATAACCGAGAGTGCTAATCTCTTGATTATGTGAGTGGAAAAGAATGGGGGCCTGTATGAAATATTGGGTGCTTGGACAGAGGTTCAACACATATCCTGAACCAGAAGAGTTGAGAAGTGTGTTTAGGCGGTCTGTGAGGGTATTGGATGGGTCAGCAGGCTCGCAGTTTGAAGCTGCTCGAGGGACAGCCATCATCCTGTAAAATTTTATGAGCAAGGAAGTAGGGACACGACACGAGAGGTCTCATACTTGTGGAGGTAATTGAGAGGCATGGCAAAAGTAATCCCAAGTTATTGGAGGCGGAAATGAGAGACCAAAGACAAAGATACAAGGACACAAGGCAGTCGCAAGGCAATCGTGAAAACGTGAAGAGATGTAAGGAGTGGAGCAAGCAACCCAACCGAGCGCCTCTCAATATACTAGTTCAGAGCCAAGGCAAGAGGGTAATGCCGCGCTGAAGATGCAGAGCATGTCATAAACTACCCAATCTAGAAGTGTCATCACTGGCGTAATTACGAGAATTCTTCCGTCGAAATGTTTCAAGCCCACAAAAACATATAATTCAACCACTCCTAGGTCAATTTTTGAACACTGATCCTGCTTGAAGCCGCAGAATGAACTGACTACGTTGAAGATAACTTTTAATAGGCCTTCTAGGCTGCTTCCATAATCAGAAAGGCTATGCAACGGGGCTAAGCTTGAAGCTTGAAATCTGTCAGCTGACCCAGGCTGCCATCGGGCTTTTTGAAGATGTCTATTCATGTCCACGATAAGCCCCAGGGGCCCTATAGCATGATTACAGTGCTCAATCAGTTTGATCGTTGGGCATTTGAGCCGGTATCGACGGAACTTTGTAAATCAAGATCGTTGCGCTCAGCTGGTTCGTCTATGATACGTATTGTTGTTAACGTTCACCGAGGCAACATATGAGTTTATTCCTACTGTATCAGGGTTGAATATCGGCGTATATATTAAAAATATACCCAGTTTCCCATGGTTTTCAAAGTCCGAAATATTCTATTCTGCCTTCCATCATGATGCAATCGGTGCTTTCGGATTAGTAGGTCTTATCCTGTACTATCACAGCCCAGCAAGGCCCCTATCACGAATCACATTGTCTTGGCTCTGGATTTTCCCAGATCGAAAGAAATGGGGACGTCATTTAAGAATCATTCGATGTCCCAGATTCATACAGACGTCTTGATCGAACGAAGAGCCACTGGTCATCTGCCCAACTCGTGCTCTGATTCCTGCAGGCAGAGGAGTCCTCGGCGATAGTCAATTTATCATTCAGTGCCTATGTATGTACCTTCTAGACTGTACCTGAACTTCGAGAAGGTCCCGAGCGGAAGATCAGCTGACAGGTTTCTTATCTTGGCTATACGACCTGAAAATCTCTACATCATAATGCAGCTTTTAAAATCTAGGGGCAGCGATATACAACAAACATACGTGGAATGGACAAATATGCGCAAAGTATCTTCATGAGTGACGCTCAGATACCGCACATCGTTGAACGCTTCGAGACGGTCCGGTATGGAAGAAGATAATTATAAGTTGGTAGGTTTCTTAAATTTTATCTTTTGTTTCCGCATGTCGCTCTCAAAATGTTTGTTGATTCAGAGCGCAAGATCTCGTAAGGCTGGTCACCGACTACCCATCCTGCTACCCCCTTCTCAATGTCATGGCTAAACTGCCGAGTATAGCATTAGGCTTCTTGAGTCAGCCATTCACCCGTCTTTCCCAGCTATTGTTCTTAGCTGATTCTGTCTGGGTAAACAATGGCCAAGTTATCACCTCAGAGCTCTCCAACTCTATCCAAGAGACCCTTGATATTTGGAACATCACTGGACTGTCTGTCGCAGTTGTCCCGAGGTACGGCGAACCAGAATTTCATTCATGGGGAAACATGACGGAGGACGAGGACAAGACAACAGAAGGCGTGCGAATTGCTCAAGTTTCTTCCTATGAACTCTGAAGCTGCAATTTCCAGACATTATTCCACATGGCGTCTATATACAAGGCTTTCTGCGTTAGCGCTCTTGGAATTTTGATGGATGACTATGAGCATGGAAGAAACATCACGCCGCTTCCTCCCGCTCTGTGCGAATTTAATTGGCACACCTTAGTACAATATATCCTTCCGGGAGAATGGCAATTGGTGGATGACTGAGCGTTCAAGAAAGCGAATATGAAGGACATCCTCTCTCATGTGTCTGGTGTTCCTGGGTAAGCTCGGCTCAAATCCTTCGCTCCAGCACAAGATTCCATTGAGCGTGAGCTAGCTATGACTACCCGTATGGACCACATGACAGCCCGAAAGATGATGTATTGTGGATGCGCTATCTGAGGCCGCCTTTCGAACTCCGGGAACAATGACAAGGTAACGCAGTGCGGTGGATGCAGAATAATCGAGTGCTCCCCAGTCTGTTCAGCTACTCGCAGCATGGCCTCGCATATGGTCATCTTACATTCGAAGCGTGCATCGGTGTGGAAACACGTTCGTGGTTTAGTACACCACATTGTTCCCGGAAGGATGTGGGCGCGACAGTACACCCTTTGAGATAGGGACATCCAAGGCTACGGCGTAGTTCGTCGTGGAAGATGGACAGGTTGTTGGGTTTGGCTTGGTCTGGCTGGTAGGTCAACTCACGGAGAGGGAGCGAAAGCACACGACTGTGCAAGACCGAGCCGAGGTTTGGTTGAGTCAGTAATACAAATGATGTTTGAATATAAGTAGCGCATTTACCCCTGAGCTGCTATCACGCAATGATTATAGTCTCGGATGTTCTGTCCAATAGGGGAGGCTACCTTGGATCTCAATCATGGCAGTTAACAAGTTACCTGTTGAGCTCTGGCTCGTCGTTTTTTCTTTCAGCAAATTTTCTTCTAATGACCTGACTGCATTCTGCCGAGTGTGCACTAGCTTCCACCATACAGTAGTTGACTCTCTGTACGAGTCCATCACAGTTGACAACTCAGATGTCTGCACCACACTTGCAGAACATCCCCATCTTGCAGAGAAAGTAAAATCTTTCATATTCACATATCCGATAATTATGGTCTATGACGGTCCTGATGTGCACCTGGATAATCTCACATTGGCCCTCAAAAATCTGACTTGTCTCTCAACACTCAAGCTTATCCATTCCCAAAAATGCTACTCGTCTGTCCTTCAGTACTGTGATGCCAAGCTTCATATCTTTCATTGCACCTATGGTGTCGACTTCGAATTCCTAAGCTTCTTAAAGAGGCAGAATAGCATCCATAATCTCATTCTCACTGGCTTATGTACCACAGATATCTATTTTACCACTGTGCGTGACTTGGAGGGGGTGCCGGTATTTCCTACCACATTTCTGCCACATCTAACGGAAGTCTCTGCTGAGCCTTTTCTTTTAATCGCCCTCATATTTGGTCGCCCAGTTCACACTCTGCGTTTCAAAGGCCAGCATACATACAAATGCCCCTGGGACCTCAATAGGATTGTCGGCCCCTCCACTAGTATCAGGCATTTGGGACTTGGCCTCATGTGGCCCTCGAGCCTTGAATACTCGCACCCATCTGAGTCAATTCTAATGAATGTCGAGGAAATTACCCTGACAGGGCTCACTACTCAGGTCAGCAATACTCGCTATATCGATAGGGTTGTGGCTCGCAGTCATACAGTGCACCAGTCTCTGCCATTGTGGCATCCCATAATCTGGAGATACTGTTTACATCACATTTTAGAAGGCGCACCAAATTTAAGAAGACTGACAATCTGGTTTGAGGGGACGCGCGAAGCCACTTACCCACGTGTTCGACGGCTCTTCCTGGAATTCCGTGATGCGCTGTCTCGTCTTGAGCACGTCTCGTGTGTAGTCACTGGACCAGACGTTTCAACGTTATTCGACTTTACGTCGGGTTGCTTCCCGATCTTTCGTTCAGAGGACAATCGAACTCGTGGCCATAGGGCCACGAATGACGTTCGGGAGCTCATGCCGATTCCCGTCCTTTGTTGCAAGAGTGAGGAGATGCATACTGCCGGATGAACCTCCGTCTCGACCGTGAAGAGGTGGAAGGTTGGTATCAATGGCGGCGTCATAATGGACCTGACCCTGAACCAGTGGTACTGGTCCAAGTATTTGGAATATATATGAATGAGAGTCACTCAGTCATCTGTGACGAGGATCAGAGACGGTCCTCGCACTATCCATACGAATGTTTTCGCCCAATAGTAATCCAGGGATCTCCACATTTTGAAGGGACAGCTTAATGTGCTATTTCTTCGAGTCAAATGCGGAGAGATGGATGAATTTGAGGAAGACAAACCATAGACAAGTGAAAATAGTCGTTCCTTCATATACTATTGGCTCCAGCATCAATTGACGACTTGAATATCGTTATTACTAGTAGATATTCCTGTCAAAAATGCTCCCCAAAACGTGAATCTTGCATCTTACTTTTCCGTACGAAATTCCCCGTCGATTTAGGTATCAGGACATTCCATCGAACCCCTACACCGGCACTCACTCAATAAAACCCGAATTCAACAAATTTAATAAAACGCACCGATTCATACACTATCATAGATATGCATACCGCAGACCCAAACTCACCCATTTACTTCGCCCTCAGCCGCACCCTCAAATTCCCACTCTCCGTCTGCGTCGAATTAAGCTCATCCAATAACGCAATTCTCCGCGTCTGCTTCGACATCCTCATCGTATCCACCTCTTCTCTCGCCTTCCTCAAAACCTCTGTGCACCCCACAAGTTGACCTTCAAGTTGCTTGCGTACCTTTTCAGGTGCTACAGCAGCGTCTTCAGCGAGCTATTAGCCTCTGGGAGCTGTCGACACGTCTCCGCTTGATCCGCAGCGTGCATCTCTACCTCGCGGGACTACAGAACGCACGTTCGATAGCGTCTTGCAGGTCACGTATTTTGTCCATCCTACCCAAACAAAACCGTTCAAGAATCCACTCGACTCAAATAAGCGAGTAAAAACTCACAATGCAGAATATCATAACAGCCACCGCTGTAAGAGAGCGCACAGATATAGCTCATCTTCCTTGGATAAATGTCATGAAAGTGTCTTACTGCTGGTAGTTGGACATCCTTCGAAATTACTATCAACGTCAGGCCACAGCATACGAGAAAGCCTCGCCAATAGTCCTTACAAATACTTTCAAATCAAACATTGTCCACATCTGCTAAACCTCGCTGTTGGAGAAACGGGACATGGATTCTATATCGCAATAGCCCACTGCGGCAGCAAAGAAATTGACTCTAACACCCGTGTTGACCTGGGAGGGTCACAAAAAGGCTATTCCATCCATATCCTACTTTCTGAACGGCAAGCGAATGATCAGCGGATCTGATGATAAGATCACTCGTCGACGGGACCTAGAAGCGGGTAAGGAACTAGAGGAGGCACGGGATGTTCAACAGGAAGCACATGCTGTGGGGGTATCGAGGGTTGTCACTGGTGGAATAATGTGGAGCTCAAAGTCTGTGAGGTTGAGGCAGGGATCGTGAGAATATTTGAAGGTCACTCAAAGAGGATCACCTGCATCGATTTCTCGGCGGAGTCCCAGCACGTCTGGCTGTGCAAAATTCAAACCGATCGTCAGCACCGCATCAACTCCACGATGCAGATAATTCTGCGCTCAAGCTCATCATTGTTGGCAAACCTGCTGATACGAAAGCCCGATAACCGAGGCCAGGTGTTCAGAACGTTCATGACGCGACAAATGGCCCGAGGACAAGGAGCGAGAATAGCAGACATTGAGATATGTGCTTGCACACAAGTAGAACATGAGTTATCTGTTTGCTTTCCCTCTATCTTTGAAAATTTGGTCTGGTATCGGCATGCCGACACAATTTGTCTTCGGTGTTCAAGTGTTCCACCGGTACAAATGTTTCACCCGACACTTACGTTGAGTCCGTGAATCCAGGCATGCGCAGGAACGGACATAAATTTCACTGGGCATCATCCTTCTATGTCATTTTGCAATTGGTGATCCAAGCACTGGACGGTGGTATATATGCCATCGCCATACGTCCACCAAGTTCACCTCCTACCCACACCCCTATTCTCCACCATTATGATCATAGTCTCAAATGATCCCACTTGGTGGCCAGTCATCAATGCATACCGTATTTCCAGCTACTTTTTAGGTTTGTGAAGGGCAGTCGGATGTTGAAGCTCATGTCTCAATCTAACCTTGACTGTGGTTCGCAGTTGCCGCCTTTGTTGGAGTCGTGTATGATTGGGGTGAGCGTAATAATATTGAAGAACCGCTGATATCTTAAAAGTAGTCACTTTCAGGCACTTACATTCGGACAAGAGGTATGTCAATGCTACGACCGGAGCAACCATCTCGCTAAAAATGATTTTATAGGTCGAATTGGTCTGGGTGAGTAGAGTCTCATGTCAGAGGAACACGCATGAAAATACACTTCATTCCAGAGGCAACGCTGGTCCATAATGACAGTTCTGTATCTCAGTGTACGTAGCTTGCCTGTCATAGTTGTCATGTTATGCTGACTTGAGAGTATCCTAGGTGCGCTACTTTGGAATCCTATTTGCTGCGTATGTTCGGAAGGTTAAACAATCGGTGTTGTGCTAACCGTCTATCTCTCATAATCAGCCTGAACCTGTTGGGTATGTCTCCTTAGTACATTTTCTGTCTTTGCTTCTTCTAACCAACAGCATACAGACAGTGTTCCGACCATCTCGCTGACAGATACAGTGAGTCTTCTGCACAGATGCCTACTATTTCCCTCCAATTAACCGCGGTGCCCTGTAGGAGTGAGTATGCTTTACTAACTTCCTGGTTCACTAATGACTGCTACACTATACTGCCACAGATGTGAGTGTGTTTGGAGTGTGTGCTACCCGAAGCTGGTCACTGACTAGATTCGTCAGGCTGGATTATGTCCGTCATATGTAGTTGGACGTATGTTTTGGTATTTGCAATGCTGTGGGGTGAGTTGCGAGACCTCAATGATGTTGACAAGACTCAAACATGCTACAAGTCATCATGGTCACTCGGTTGCATGCCATGTATCAACAATCCAGAAAGATCCTGGTATTTCTCATTGTCGCCTTCCTGGCTGACAACATTTTCAACGGAGTAATTGCTGTATTGACAGCGATACATACTTTAGGAAGTACGCTTAATTGTGGATGACAAAAATGTACATGGGGCTCATTAATACATACCAGAGGAACTCATTCTCTCCGGCACCTATCAATGCACGATTGGTTACACGGGAGGTAAACTACCTCTGTATTCCATTCCTTGGATACTCGGCGCTGTGTGGGAGGTGCTCGCACTATGTCTCGCAATCTGGATTGTTGTCAAACACTTCCGTGAACTGCGACAACATTCAACAGCAGGGATTTTCAAGGACTGCTTTACGGTGTTGATGAAAACTCACATATTTTACTTTGCGAGGTGAGCTCATATTGTGATTATTGTTCCTTTCTTTCCACTGAAGGGTCGGACGTGGTAGCTTTGTTGCTGTTTCTTGCTTCCAGCTCATTATTAATCTCTCTCCGACACTCTCAGCGGTACGTCAATCTTGCACTTACCTCTGCATGTGATCACGGTTCATCGTTTCTATAGGACCCCTCTTCCCTGGAAGCTCAGATATATTATGGCATTCTTCAAATTTTGGATGTCGTGCAGTCGTTTGTGCTAGGACCACGCCTGATCCTTGGGATTCGAGAATATCACGCTAAGCTCGTGGTCGATTCTGACGCAGCAACTTGTATGACCTCAATCGCTTTCCAGGAGCGCGTGCATATATCGACTGGCAGTAGTGTGTAATGCTCGGTGATCGACGAATGCGGAACTACAATCTTTCAGACCTTCTTTTGACTTACTCGTATACAGCCAGCAATGCTGACATCGTATTATTACTATTAGAGAGTAACAAATCAATGAATGTAATGGCGCAGTATAAATCAAGAAAGATTCTTTCATCCGGGCTAGCAAACTGATGATCGACATCGGCAGGCAAAGTGTGCCAGCTGCCAGTAGGTGGGTATCCTTCGAAATTACTATCAACGTCAGGCCACAGGATACGAGATAGCCTCACCGACGGCCCTTGGGATGCTTCCAAACAACAGCCTTATTGTACTTGTCAGCCTCTCTGGCGGAGAAACGGGACATGTATTCCAGATCGCCACAGGCTACTGTGGCAACAAAGAAACTGACTCTGACACGTGTTGACCTTGAAGGGTCACAAAAAGGCTATTCCATCCATATCCTACTTTCCGAACGGCAAGCGAATGATCAGCCTTGACTGCCTTCCCACCCTTTCCGTCCGCGCCTTGCAGGCTGAATGACCTCCGGCTCTTCTTCCTCTGTCAAAGGACTGTCATCGTTGAACAAGTCGTCAACGGGTGCAGAGACAATCTTGCGCTTGCGTGAAATGACTGGCGTGTTGCTAACAGACTCTTGAGGAGACGAAGGAGGAAGTGGTGAGACTGCGCGTTGTGCATCATTGCGGGAATTGACAGGTGCAAGGGCGATTGGTGAGTCTGGAGTGGGCCTTTGAGGCGGCGGAGGTAGGGGGTCCTGACGTGGCTTCTGTTGGGGCACTGAAGATTGTGTAGGAGCTGGATCCGTGGATCTGGAAGCTCGTGAAGCGCGTGCGGCGAGTTGGCGTTCCATTGCGATCATGTCGTCGTCATCCGAACAGTCGATGTTCTCGGAATGAGACGGTTTGGCACCGTTTTCATTGCCAAACAGTATCCTGGATACAAATAGACATTAGATATCAAATCAATATAGTGGATGACTTACTCGTTATAATGCGCTAGTAGTGAGTCAACCCATTCCCCACCGAAGTTCCTGTTGTGAATGAGACGTGTGATCCTGGTGTAAAAGTCGCTGTAATGAAAGTAGCCATCCTTGTCGTTCCATTTGTCGAGGGAACTGATACCAAAACGAGCCTGTCCGGTACAAAGTAAGTCAAGAGCGTGCCGATTAGAAAAAACTTACCTGGACTGCGGCATACGCAATATGCTCGGCATCCACCTTGGACATTCCATGGATTTTTGCGTTGCCAGGGCGTGTGCCATTCAAGACACCAGTCGTTAGTGCAGAGGAAGGAGATGTAAAAATATGCTTGGTTACCTGAATAGATTAACAATAGCCCCACTCAATTCTTATTTTATTCTGCCATTTTATTTTGTGGCTTGTAATATAAATCTTGATCGC